CAGACAGCATACAATTAAAGCATAGTAAGCGCAGTGTGTGCGATTATTTTATGTATAATTATTCTGAAATCTTTTAAGCCTTTCTAATTATTCATTGTCTAGCTTTTTCCTAAGTGCTATGCAGAGGTAAGTGAAATTCAAAGCTTAGTGTTACAAAAAGAAATCAAATATGGTTTTGACAGCAGCAAAGCGAACAAAACATTAAATCCATATTCAAAATTTAAAGTTTTGTGATTGAGTTTATTGTTTTTCACTTAAACCAACATCATCAGTATATGATTTCAGTCCTGCTTCCTTTAATGCCATATCATCCGCATCATAATTACTCACCACACCAAATTCTACTTTCACTCTCGGTGGTTTCCGATGTCGATGTGCCTTTATTTTTCCCATAATTTTATCGATCAGTAGAGTTTCCAAACTAGATACGGGTACCTCGAATGCTAAACTCAGGAATAAACCCGTAAAATATGCCATTGCAACAGCTATAGCAAACTGGTAGAGCTAAAAAGGAATCTGAATCAAGATATGATACTTCCAGTAATACGATTAATCTGCTCTCCACTAAAAAGCACAGCAACGCTTTCAAAAAAGCTACTTTAACATTATGAAATAAATCATAAAGTTTTGATGTTACTCAATCGTTATCAATCTTCTATATTACGATTTGGAAAGTAAAACTTTACCACATCACTTATTATATAAATCTTTTTCATTATAAAATATCAGTTTTTGGAAGCCAGAAAAAAAAAACGAATGTTATTGAGAAACATGCCATTTGATAAACGGTGGTGAAATGGAAAGCATGTGGTCGACTTAAATAATAAATTTGCAGTAGAATAGGATGAATGAGATATGCACAAAATGTTACACGACTTAACGGTATCCAAGCTCGCCAACTTAATATATCATTTACTGCTCCTGAAATTACCAATGAATTAACATTCATTGGTAATTTTAAAATTGTCATTACTTGTAATGTGTGTTTCCATAAAGAAGCAATTAAGCATTCAAAATTCAAAATTCGATTATCGCACTACAAATGCAGAAAAGCTTTAAATAATTATTAAAAGTTAACCTCCGTATCCAGTAGCGCATGCGAAAGTAACCCATGCTAAACTTAGTGCATACGCATTACGCCCGAATAAGGCATAAATAATGCGTGCCGTATCTGATATATCACCTGTACGAGCATAATTATACAAGCCGAATACAGCTAAAAATCCAAAAATGATAGAGAGCATCCAACCTGCGATTATTTTCCACTGAAAAAGAAAGGTATAAGAAATTTGAAAAAAAAATGAAATTATTTCGGACAATGAAAACTCTTTTTTTTTTTCAAATTCAAAAATACCCTAGGAAATGTGGGTCGAAGTGTACATTTATGTACTGCATATCCCACCAATATACCAATTATATATGGATTGCAACGAATATACGGTTTCACATACACATCTGACCAATATGTACTCATATTCTGTACTCTGTAATTAACTCATTAATGTTTGCAGAAAATCGATCAAAGAGTTGATTCATTAAGCTTTGCTCAACATTAATTGCTTTAAAAATTTGATAGCTTAACTTCAAACAATTGATTGGTCTCAGAAAGTTACTAAAGAATAGAAAGTTAAATGCTAATAAAGAATTAGCTAAGTTAAAAAAGAAAATCGGAGAAACATACAATTGTAATTTGGCAGTAAGTATAGGAGCAGGTGGATAGTTATTTGCAAGAACAATGAATAAATGTACAAGAGATGACATGGTGATCAATGATAATGCAATGATAATACCAGCAAGTTGATTTCTACAAATATAACTTTGAATTTGATTTTTACTAGAAAGGCTTTCGTGTCAAATAATTTAAATATTTAAAGGTAATTCACACTTAACAAACAAATAATTATAGTTTCCATCTGCACTGAATGAATAACTAACCTATACAAAAATATAAGAAGTACCGGTGAAAATACATGGAACTGCATGTCATTAGCCATATACCAAGTCCATCCCATACACTCCAAATTCATATTAATTCATATTAATTGTATATTAATTTTGCAAAAAGTCTTACAGAAAAATGGATAATTATCTTTCAAAGTAAAAACTATATCAGTGAATTTAAGAAATGTAACTAATTCATGAAGTCAAATATTCTACGGTGAAAAAAAGAAAGGTTATATGATAAATGGACGGCATTATAAAATCTTTCAAGCATCAAATGGCAGATGAAACAGATATTGTTTAAAAAGTGAAAAAACAATAGACAGATCAAAAATGAAATACATATGTTAAGAATGACGAAAAACTTACAACTTCAATATCTTGCAGTAAAAAATTATTCATGTAAATTAGATTAGTCCACCAACTTTTGCGACAATAATTCGCTTCAATGGGCCGCCAAAACGGTCCATCAGAGAAATGTGTCAGAAGAGTGATATCGAGAATCATAATCATCAAATATATCGGAGTAAGTCTTTAATAAGCAAATAAAACATCATAATGAATTTGTAATGAAGATTAAGAAGTGACAAATAGAATCATTAGTCTCGTGCTAAGATAACAAACCGGATATATCGATGAATATAGAAAAGCGACCATATATCTAATGAATATATTGAACGACCTTTTGCAGCCTCCACTTTAAACTTTTCCATAAACAAATATGAAGTTAACATACCACTGAAACTTTGCATGCATAATTTAAATATGTACAAATGACAATTCAAAAACGTCACAGAATTTCCGAAACTGAACATGAATCTAAGCAAAAAGCCACAAATCGGAAATAATTTTGAAATTTCTAGAAGTTTCATAATTTGAATGCCAAGAACAATCCATAAATTATCACAAATAGAACAATACCTGAGATAGAAAAATGAATCAACAGCAAGCGGTGCTTGTACAATGATAAGGTTGAAAAATTTTTGAGGAAATGCAATCATTGCGGGCAGTAAATTATCTGAAATGAATTTTAATAAATGCGATGGAAATCAAAGATTTTGCCATTCGTAAATTTAATCTTTACAGCACTATTAATTAAATAATGCTTACAACTTTTATAAATTTCACATCTCATACAAAGACTGTTCTATAGTTCTGATATGTGAATTTCAAACCAAAAACATACCAACTGTTAGACTACTAATGATATAGTAATACGAATGACCGAGGATTATCCAGAACATACTGAGCACTCTAGTACCGTGAAGGCAATGTATTTGATTACTTTTTTTTTCAGTTCTTAAGATATTTCGTCCATTAGTATACATCGAAAATGCTAATAATACCTTTTTGAACCAATCTGAAATATTACAAAAAGCTAATGATGTAATCTAATCTTTAAAAAATTCCAGTAATTATTAGAAAATCAAAAAATTAAAGGAGAAATTCAAATTGGATTCAACTTTTTACTGATGCTTTCCTCCAGTTTATTGCTTATTTTAAGTGTTGTTGTGGACATTAAAAGCCTTTCCATTCCTCTAAATTGTATAATGTAAAAGCTGATTAACGAAGGAAGGATTACCATTTCATGAAAAATCAATTGATACACAATAAACAATACATGTGATAGTTAGCAGTGAAATCTCCCAGACAAAAATTAAAAATTTTAGGGAAATTAAAATCAGCCTACCTTGTTTTTCACTACACGTCTCGTCTTTTTCATCCTTTAATTCCGTTTGGTAAACAAGATAATCATAAAGGGTGCCGAAAAGCATCAACATTAGTATGAAAAGTATAAAAAATCTGCAAAAAAGTTTACCATACATTTGATAAGGAGTTCATTTTAAGAATTTTTTGACTTCTCTGAAATCTTTCAAAATTCACAAATTTTAAAACAATCTATAAGATTTAAAATGGTATATTTTTGGATTGAATAGATACGAAATCAAAATAAAAGACCTTGACGTATTGCAACCTTTAGAAGATCAAACATTCTATTCCAACAGATGTGATTTTCCCAGTAACACTCGAAATAAAAGTTGTTGGTAGCTTAGATTGGGACCTTTTATTTTAATCCAATGGCATGAATTTGGGCGTAATTATTATATCTTATAACAAATTTAAATTTAGATCAAAGTAAAAGATTTACAGCACAATTAGTGAGCTCGAATCGTGAGAAAGCTGAGAATGAGGCAAATTATTGCGACAAACAATATCCACATTACACACCACTTGTCGACCAATCGCACTTTCGGCTGATTTGTAAACTGTAGTTTAAAAAGATTGAATCTTAAACTTCACAATTTTTACAATGGCCAGTATCCAAGTGATAGTTATCACAATAATATTTCGTTCCTGGGAGTTTTGATCTTTGTTGCTAATATTTTCGGTCAGATTTTTCGAATTCTGGACCCATACAAAAAAAAATTTTGGGGAATCAAAATCAGCCTAGTTTGTTTTTTTCAAAAAAAAAAAGATCTCGTAACTGCACTCATTTCAAAATCAAAAAAGTAACCTAATTCGAAAATTTTCTTTACATCATAATTCGTGCAAGAATCTGGCGTGCAGATGCCATAATTGAGAAGTGGAATTAAAGTGAAGCATTTATTACTTTCACTACTTGTTTCATTTGAGTGCCAGGTATTTGAACTCCTAAAAAGAATGATCTAAAAATTCAAAACCCATGGTTAAATAAAAATGACAAATTAAATTTAGAAAATCTTCAAAAAATTATTGCTCTGATTTTCAGTTGAAAAATCGCCCACTTATACATATTACAATTTTAAATAAAATGAATTTGAACTACAAAATACATCAAGAATAAGGGAACAGGTAGGAAAAAATTTAATTGGAAAAGCTTAGATAAAAATCCTTATAACTCGCTGAAAGTGAAGCAGAAACAAACTTGCAATATTCATTTGGGTCTTCAGCAGGACCTGAACCACTGTTTTTAAACAGATCAGCAGAACTGTATGACTGGAAGGTGGCCAGACAATATTGACCCGACCATTTCTGCCTAAATAAAATTCACTTGATTGTTTTAATCTTCTAAATTTCTCATACGGAAAAAGATGAAAACAAAATTATTATATTTTTGAAATCAAAAAAGTTGTTCCTTTGACTGAAGAGCAAGAAAATATACTGCTGGCGATTTTTGACAACTGAAATACGTCGGCAAGCACTCCATGATCCAATCCACAGATTATTGCCATTTAAGATACCAGCCGGTACCTTACCCATCGCATCCATTACTGCAAAAGATAATTAATTAAAAGAAACATGGAAACTCTGTTGCTCAAATGGTTCGCACAGATTAAAAGAGTTATTAATTACGGAAGAATTATGTCATATAAAGATGATGAAAAGTACCTGAATAGGATAAAAAACATCCGCAACAAAATCGTTAATTATTTCAAATCATACCGTTGAAAATCCATTTGTGATTTTGATGATTACGCATTTGAAATTCACAAGTACAATTAGTACAGTCACTGCTTCGCTCATTAGAGCGAGTATAATCCATAGCTGTCCATAAGAAATATGCTATATCGGCAAGACAAGGCAATGATATGTCATATTCCTGGAAAATAAAATATTTCATGACTGGTTGCTGTAATATTTTAAAAATCTTAAAGTCTCCATGAAGTTTATCCGACTATTCATTATTGCCAATCAAATGAAAAGTCCATAATTTCTAACATTTCAGAGCGAAATGTTTCAGATTTCTCTTAATAGTTCTTTTAACTCCTTAAATTTTCAGACCAAAATAATCATCATACACATAAAGCGGTAATTTTAACAAGTATAGCTTAGTAAGCCAGAAAAAAAATTTGCAGTTCTATCCTTTTTAAACCAACAAACTAACTACTTACAAACCAAAATATAATGATGTCTTTCCGGCAACAGTCCTAATATGCTAACGTGGCCAGAAATTAGGGTGGTATATTTAATTTTTAAATGAAGTTTTAACTTAGTACTTGCTCACAATGAAAAAAGATATGATAAATGCCAAATGAATAACCAACGGAATGAATCAAGTAGATGGAATCAATCGATCAACGATGAATAAATAAAAAGCAAAGGAACGAAACAAAGAGAAAGCTGGAAAAAATACCTTCAATGGCTCCAGCAAAGTAAGTAATCGTTTGATGTACGATTCATCGCCTGATTTTAATGCTTTCTCAAATTTGCTAGTTGGACGAAGAAATAAAGTTTTAAAGAAATCCAAATCAATGATTAGCTGCCATTGTGAATCAGCAAAAAATTCGGAAACGAATGCTCCCAGCACACTATCTGTACCTTTTTTATCCTCCAATCGTATTTCTTCTTCCAGGAAGTCATTAGCATTGGCTAGGAGAAGGTGAAAAACCAGAAGGAAACAAATCTTTTTTAAAATTTGCATTAGAAGGATAAGTTTTAGAAATTTCTCGTAAAATATGATCCCAGTTGGGAACTATCAATGAGTGAAATCTCACACTGAATCATTACTTCCCATTTCAATAGCGGCAATGTTTGGTTCCAATAAGCTTATCAATGCAGTACAATGTTATCAATATGATTGAAGGCACAAGTAGCAGTGATGATGTGGAAGTGGAAAGATTTCTTATCTTATGGTATGGTTGTAGTGAAATCGATCACCAATTAAAATTCAGTCTTCGTCTCACTCCAAGCGTTTCCTACCTTGCGAAATGAAATAGCAACAGCTCGGCGACTGATAAGCCACTTCATCAATTCGTCTCTCTTTTACTTTCAGATTTCATAAGTTATTATTAATGATAGCAGTGATCATCAGAGAAAGAGGCGAAAGATTTAGCCTGAAATGTCTCATGTCAAATTCTCTCGCCTATATTTCCCCTTATCACTAAAATAATCTTTTCTTAAATCGATAATTTCAAAATCTTCATTTTTCAAAATATCTTCCTTCCTTACTTTTTTCAAGTGAATAAGAACTTATCATTTAACTATACTCGGCTCTTTACAAGCAAGTCACCCAATTCATCTCATAAACTAGAACAAACGATTTCTTTTACTGAGTAGTAATAATGTAAAAGATAAAAATGACTACGTTTCAATTTGCGACAACACTAATAATTGATAACAATAATGATGCACAAATGAAAAGCAGTGGTAGATAACTATAAAACACTGGTCACTGGTTCTCAAGCATTATGCTAGTGTTTTCTAATGATAATCCCGGCACCGCCAGAGTTTTGTGATTCTGATAAAACATAGATTATTATCATAAAACTGTTGCCAGATTTTAGACTTCAAAAAAGTTGGAAGGAGATAATAAAATATTTATAATACAAAAATGAATTTCCACATCGACAATAGTTAACCGGAAAAATTGAAATCAAACAGAATTGATGCAACAAACAAATGTTACATTCTAAATTAATACCATTTTTCAGAGGTCATTCAGTCTAAAAAATTCGCTTCATGTTTATGCCGAATTCATTAAGAAATTAACAGTTTTTAAGAGAATTAGACGAGCGTAAACAACATTGAGTTACTGTAACTGCATGATTTAATGCTCCAAAAATCTTTCTAGCGCTGATAGTTCGATTCTTTTGATCTTCACATATCCGCTAACAGATCTAAGAACTTCAGGTCTTCTAAAATCTGCAAATAAACGCTTCAACTGTAGAGCCATTGATATTCACATATATCTTTCAAGATGTAAATATGGATATGTTCGCATCAGGCAAAATCATCACTGAAATCGAATGTTGATATGTTATCAATTGCTAATCAATACAAAATTGACAAATTGATAATTCTAAGGTGTTTCTTAAAAAATTTGATAAAAAATGCTAGGAAATGTAGTAGTAAGATTATCTTTACTTGATCACATATGTAACAAACAACTAGAAAGTCATTAAATACAAGTATAACCAAACAGCCAAGTTGAACAAATAATTAAAAAATCGTGGAAATGATAAGATGTTGATCAGGAACTTGCCATTTAGTATTTAAACTTATGTCACTTGGTATAATAAAGTAGTTTTTTAGCGAGATAATTTTAATTTTGCCTTTTTATGAAAAATAATTAACATTGAACGTCAAAGAATTTAGGCAAACCTAAAATCACGATAGAAAAAAATCAGAATGATGAGGTAATCAAAATCAATATTTTGAAGCGTTCAACAGACAAAGCGAAAAGTTATCAAAAAATTTATGATGGTGTAGGTGCAGGAGCAGATGATGGAGGAGGTGGTGGTCGAGAAGGACGCATAGTGGGAGGTGGTGGAGGACGCATCATTCGTACTGAGGGAGGGGGTGGTGGAGGAAATGGAGCACGACCTTGCATGGAAGGAAATGGTGGCGGTATCCGAGGGAATCCTCGTGGCGGAGGTGGTGGAGGTGGCGTTGGCGTCGGTGTTGCTGGCGGTCGCATCCCTGGTGTTATCGGCGGCGGTGGCGGCATTCCCCATATTGGTAATGGAGCTGAAAATTTCAATTGGTGGACAGTTATTCCGGAGAAATTAAGGCAATGTCAATTTATGAGAATTTTTGGGTTTTAAATTTAAAGGCTACCAAATAATTCATTCATTTATTTAAGTGATGTTTCTTCAGTTTTGCATAAAAGATTATATAAAGTAGATGGAATAAAATAAAAACCACATGTAAAATACTTACCACTCATTGGCGGCGGCGGTCTGGGAGTGCCGAGTGGTGTTGGCGGGGCAGGCGGTGGAGGTGGTGGTGGGATCGGTGTTGCGCCAGGTGTAGGCATAGGTGGTGGCGGTGGCGGAAAGATTGCAGGTGGTGGTCCAGCCATTGGTGGAATCATAGGTGGAGGTATTGGAGGACCTGGAGGTGGTGGATGAAGTACGGGTGCAAGCGGCAATTTTCCATCAGAGAATATTTGATTTGGTTTGTCTGAAGGAAACAACGGGTTTTGCGCAGCTAACATTCGTTCTGCGGCTGTACCATGTCGTTCACCCTGAAGTTTTAACGAAATTGAAGCCGGCAAGGCTGTTATTTCAGCAATTCTCAATTAATCGGGAATCTAAAACGGTAAATGTAACTTTTCAAACTCTTGATAAACGCTAGCTCTAAAAATTCATCATGTTAAAAACGTGGAGTTCTAATAAAGTTTTGGAAATCTTTTTTTGTGAGCTAAAACCGAAATGGAATTTTTATAAAGTATTAGTAATTCCCTATTCTACATAAAGATTCCGTAAATAAAAATTAATCCATAATGTTGAACTAGTGATTATAGATCCATCTTAAACGAAGAAAGTATCAGAATCAAAAAATAGAATAAAAAATGGACAAACCTTTGTATCCTTTTTGAATGCATAACTCACAGTAATAGCTCGATTACAAAGAAACTGCCCATTCATTGCTTCAATAGCTGAATCTGATGCCTCGAATGATGCAAAATTCACAAATGCAAAACCTTTACTATTACCCGTCTCAGCATCACGCATTATTTTTGGAACCTGCATGATGACTATCACAATGGATTTGGATAAAAATTTAAAAAACAACATCCCTAACGATGCATTATAAAATATCAAATAAAAATTATAGAGCTGAATCCACCTTTTCCGGGATAACGTAAAAAAGAGACTTCCCCTTATTTACATACGATAAAGAAATTTTACGGAACACAGATCAACAAAGTAAAGGATGGACTGGTTATATAAAGTAATTAGTTGAATAAGAAAAAAGACCTGTAAGATAACTCCAAATGCACTGAATGTATCGAAAAGTAATTTCTCGTCTACTTCTGGGTCGAGATTACCAACGAATACATTTGCGCCGACATCCATATTCTTCTCATGGGCTGACGCTTTATTCACCTGAAAAATTGTTTGTTTTAATTGTTTTATTAATTCCAAAACTGCAGTCACAAGAAACTCGAAATCAATGGAAGCTCTGTGAAACAAGATAGACGCATGAACATACAACGGCTTAAGGTTTTTATGAGAGATCCATTTAGATTTCATTTCAATTATACTGCTACCAAAGTCATGGACTTTGGTTTTTTTTTAAAATTCCAAAAATTCTAAGGAAAAAACATTGATAGTTAAACATTTCTTCAATCTTAGCACACTCATGAATAATTTCCAAACATAATTTTAACAACCTTTATAGGTTTCCCATACAATTTTATCATGTTCATGATTTTGATTGCATAATCAGCATCTTCTTCACCCATGAATTCAATAAAACCGAAGCTGAAATCAAAAACTCATCCATGTGTGAGCTAATAACCAAACAAATTCGCCAAAAGTAAACCAAAATATGAGAAATTCTAAGTAAATCAAAATCTATGCGCATTTATATATGCACACTGAAATCTGATATTCAATTCTAAATTCAAAAGTGAATTAACCCTTGATGTGAACTAGTCACTCGATCTTTCGGCATATTCACTGATACAACTGGTCCTGCTTGCACAAAGAGTTCCCATAAAATTGCATCAGTCACTTTCTCATCCAAACCACCGACATAAATCGTAGCATCTAGAACAACATTTTATAGAGAAAAGTTGATAGCTCCATCCTTTTCACAATCCATTAAAGAAGAGTGCAACCGTAGTAATTTTCAACTATAATACAAAAAATTAGATAATATGTTTTGAATACACTGAATAATATAATTCAAAAATTTCCGCTAAAAAACACCATTAGAGTGCATTACAGCTGAATAAGGAAAACATATCAACCAGAAACAGTTTATAAGTGACCGGCAAGCTCGTAATGCAATTCAAGGAAAATCATATTCACCTACCCTGATTCCTCTCTAAAATCGGTCCTGCTGACATCTTTGAAGACAAAACTGCAATATAAGAAAGAACTAAAAACAATATTCGACAGCAGACTATTTCCTGAAACATTCGAAATCATTAGTAAAGCGGAGCTGATGCCAAAGGGATTTCATCTGCGATCTCACTTTTCGTTGTGGATCTTCCACTATGAAAGTTTCGGATGTTCACTGCAGAAGCGATATAAATACATCGAGCTACAGTATCAAGTATTCAAACATTAACGGATCCCAACTTTTAATATTGCGCTATATGCTCATAGTGGGAGAAGAAGGGAGAAAATCTTTAATTCTATCTCGTAAGAAATTCCAGAACAATCAGAAACTGATCGATTCATCACTCTCCCCAATTTCATAATACATTTTTGCGAATGAGAAAAGATATTTAAATTAAGCTGGCAGATTAACATAACATTTTCACCGGATCATAATGGCGTGTCAGCAAATGTAACTTACAAGATGTCAATATTAACTCCCAAGAAGAAAAGTAAAATCTAGATTTGGAAATAAATGAAAAGTCATCAGACAAAATATTTCCATGAATAATACATGGAATATGACACTCAGCATTGTTAAAAATTTCTTGTTAAATAAAACAATAATCATGAAATCATCAGCAACAAGGAACAAAAGTTATATTTCAAGATAATTAAAAAATCTCTTCCTCCAAATAATGGAGCCATGCTCGTTGTACTCCGCTTTCGAAACAAATCTGAAATTTAAAGACGCAATATAAAACATTTTTTCTAAAAGAGCTTAGAAATACATATTTTACTTATACGAATACTTTAACTGCTCCAGAAAAATAAAAAAAAATTTAATTCATTGTTTCATAAAGTTTTAAAACAGACTTATCATCCCAAGCACCAAGTTTCGCTGCATTTCGCCCACAGTGCCAAGCATGCGTCATAGGATCAGCAACATCTCTTAATTTTATATCATAAATTTGATCCACGAATGGCCGCAAATCTTTAACACTAAAATTTGATCAGCTAAACAACATAAAAATGAAAGATGTCCGATATTAATAATAACCTTTCGCGCACTTTATTTAATCAGAAAACGTGTTTAGAATAATTAATGGAAGATTTCTAAACACCCTTTGTATTAAAAAAAATTTTTTTAAGCTGTTAAAAACCTACACTCGCTCACTGAATCCGGGGAATAAGACATTACCACCACAAAGAATAATGTTGTTTAACAATCGTCCTCGCATGCCTTAAAAAGAATAAAACTTTTTAAGCACAAATCAATATACCAAAAAAGTGGAAAATAACAAGTCCATTTAATTTTGAAAAAGAAGTACCAAAATAATCAATGTTTCAAAGATATATCTAGAATCCTTCAAAGCTGGTTACCAAATGGGCATTTCTTTACAGCTGTTGCAATAGCTTCTGGTATACCCATCTGCGAAATACCAATGTCCGACGGTGAAAAAAGTGTTTCAGGCACTGCAAATCTTTCTATATTTACTCTCAACTTTTGGAGATCATCGCAGACGTTATCGTCAGAAGTACGAATAAATCCACGACTATGGATGTTGAAATCTGGAAGCATATAATCCTGAACAATGGTATTTTCTTTTCCTCTGCGCCTTAAATAAAAAAGGCTTAAACTATGAAGCACAAAGAAAAATGAAAAGAATATTTAAAACTTTATAAAAATATCAAATTTAAAAATTTTTTTAGAACTCAAGTCTTAAATATCGTCTTATATCTTTTACAAGTTCTTATATCTTTTACACAAAGAAAGACAAATTTTATCCAAATTACGTACTAAGCAGCTGCTGAAGCAACAATAATCACCTATCAGTGGTTAACGAATCCTGTCTTGGCAAAATAACTACGCATTAATCCATCAAAAAAAAAATTTCGTTTCTATTCAAGTCGAGAATGATATCCACTTTGTACAATATAAATAGAAAAGATATAGATAATTCCACTTGTTCCCAAAATTACCTATATTTTTTGAAAAATTTTTTTTCTTGAAAACTTACTTAGCAATTTCCATATTTCTGACAAAATCATCGGCAACAAAGCAAATATCTTCCTTACATTCATTCATAACATATGTTTCTTCCATTACATTCAACTGTCTATATGAAATCCATTCTTTCAACAAATTAGTCAAAACTTTACCGCCAATATCAATCCTGAAATTTAAAGAAAAAATAAGGTGAAATAAAGAAATACTAGGAAATCATGATAGTGATTACGACAAACTATTTTTTCCTCCTCTTAATTTATGTTACAGTGAAAAACCATAAATGCTTTCAAAAGAAAAAGAAACTGAACCCGTATTTTGTTAAGTGAGAGTCATATCAAGTTGCAAAATTTCCAAGAGTTTAAATTTACCTTAAAATGCCTTCTCGAATAACTTTTCCATTATAATAAGGCACGATATGCGTAAATGAAAAACCTGTATCCACGACAATACAACAAAGTTGATCCTTGTATTCTTGTGAGACAGTATCAGCCATTGCAACAAGTGAAGAGGCTTAAGACATACATTTCAAAGCAAAGTAGTCTGTGAATTTTAACTAGATATAACAATGACAAAGAATATCAAGGAAAGTTTTTAGATTTGCATCCAGATAAAAATTTTCAAACTTGGCCAAAATATTTTTATTAGTTCTACAGAACTGCCTACCACTTGTTTTGACAACTGAATGAAATCCGTACTGCTCGAAAAGTATTTCATCCGAAAAATCCCTGATTGCTGGAACATTGTAAATGGTATCGGTCATAATAATGCGAGTATCGGAGAATGAAACATTCAGCACATCTTTCCCGAATACTCTATCCCATATTTGCTGTTCTACATCCCAGTTCACTAAAACACTTCCGGTATATTCCATCAATCTTTTGTCTGCTATTAAATTGTAAAAGTAGACACTAACCAATATATCGACACACTAACCAATATATCCTTTTTCAGCTGGAGTAAGAAAAAATATGCTAGAATGATCACGGCATTCTTCAACTTCATCTGCCACAAAAATTCTTTTACGATCAGTTTTTGTCTTAATGATACAATTTGGGAATAGTCTGAAATCTTTCAAATAAAGCATGAAAACTATAAACGGAAACACTATAGTTTAGGAACTCTATTAAAAGATTCAAATTATTGGTTGTAATCATAAAAAATTACTAATTCATTCTCGGTTAAACCATTAGTAATGATAAGCTTATCGAAATTTGTTAAACGCTACTTTGGTTGATCGTCGGTTATGTAACCAGTTTTGATAGTGCTACAACCATTGTCAAATATAAGCGTATATGACATTGTGCTGAAAAACTTGAAAATATTTAAATAAAAATTTCATCCATTCTCTTAAAATACTTTAATAAAAGACGAAATATAGAAAAATATTATATAATCTTTCAAAACTAAACAAAACTTATTCCGTCTTTACTATATTACATACAAACGTATAAAAAAAGAGAAATCCAATAAATTAATGCAAATAAATATAAATTAAGCAATTTAATAATACAACCATAAAAATTTCAAAAGATTTTCCTTTTTATCAAAATAGATCACACGAATACGGGATATTCATAACAAGTTATATTGACCATTACTAGGCCAGAAAAATGCAGAAATATCAATATTAGTTCTTAAGTCTCTGATTATAACACAACATTTCATAACGAAGCAGTATGAGAATTATATCTGTCTCGTTCATCATCTTCAGCGATAGTTTTCCCAACGTTTAACTACGGAATCATGAAAACAGAGATGCATAGAATAAGATAAACATTACCTGACAAATTAAAGCAGTACCAATAAGTTTGCTCGAATTAAAAATTCAAATGAGATATGCTAGAATAATAATTTTCACAGCCATCTACGTGAAACGGAGAAAAGCGGGAGGATATTAGCCCCTGTTTTGTCGTCGTTTAAAATTCACCAAAAAAAAAATTAGAACCCATGCGAAATAAATGCTTGACTGTCAGCAATCAAGCACTTCTAAATTCTTCCTGTACATTGCAGCTCAATAGTGTCTGTACATTTGACATTTCCCATTATTTTATGCTTCATAGTTTTAAATTGCGTGCCTGTGAGAGCTATCATTGCTATTATTTCGATATTTGAAAGTGCTGAAAATTCCATCGGTTCATTTCACAGCACTTGCCTGGAAAGAGAGCATGATTTTTTATCAGATAAAGCGCGCAGATTTAATTTGTTTGTTTACTGTTTGCTGGCGAGTAGTGTTGAAATGAGTGTTTCCGATGGTATGTGTGCTGAACACTTTTTCCTGATCGATGTGTTGGAATCTTCACTTACTGCAGTTGTTAAACTTTTCTCAAATTTTCAAAAACTTTCAATTCTTAAACTTTTCCCAAAATTTTTAGTGGATTGGTCTTTGACTTTTGCAATGTTAATAAAATCTCCATAATGTCTTCTATGAACGCTTGAGGAATAACGAGAGTTAATATCGAATCATTTTGCAATGACTTAAACCCTATAATTAGATGTTTTTAATTGTTTTTCCGATTCTTTTAATCGCTAATTCTAGTCAGATAAAAGCGATGATGGATATGGAGGAAGGTAATATGGAGGTGTCAGATTATGCTCCAATGTATCGTTACCAGTTTCGGATAATACTGATCGGTGATTCGACAGTGGGAAAATCAAGTTTGCTTCGACATTTTACAGAGGGAAAGTGTGTAGAAATCTGTGACCCCACAGTTGGCGTCGATTTCTACGCGCGAATGGTAGAAGTCAAACCAGGATATCGTATAAAGTTGCAACTTTGGGATACCGCTGGGCAAGAAAAGTTTAGGTAGAGTAAGTTCATTACAAGCACATTATTTTTATGACGGATAGTTCAAGATAATGCTGATTTGACAGTACGGATTCAGAACTGTTGAGATACTATCAATATCATCTATACTAGGATCGTAGATTATTGGATACATCTGAACTGGTCTCCAAAGAATTTTCGTAACAAATTTTAGGTAACTTACTGACGACCAGGAATGACTGTAGGTTTGTTAGATTGAAACTAAATTCTGCTTGATAGTTCATTTTTGGAACAGATCCCGTCAGAGGTTCTGTCTTTGAAATTTATTACAAAACTTAAGTCCACTTTAGATCAATTACTCGTTCTTATTACCGCAATTCAGTGGGTGTGATTGTTGTTTATGATATAACAAATCGACCAACTTTCGATCATGTTGCGGAGTGGCTGAAAGAAGCAGAGCAGAATGTTGGCGGTCCGCAACCGAATAACTGTGTTTTTCAACTCATTGGTCACAAAGCTGATTTAAATAATGAACGTCAGGTACAGTATTCATTTGTGTTCAAAGTTCTTCGTAATATTTGTTGTCAGTTTTTCTGCAAATCATGGCGTTATGTCTATTGCTTACGGTTTGATTTTGATGATGGAAAATGTTCCATTTTCTAGGTGATGTATGAAGAAGGCGAATATTTTGCCAAATATAACAAAATCAAGTTTTTGGAAACTTCAGCAGTTACGGGTGAAAATGTTCAGGTCAGTGTAGTACTTATGTTTCCTAAGAGTTTAGAAACTGTTTACATGGGTTATAGAAATATACCAGCCGCAAGGATCGAGTAAAACTGTACATCCCTCTCGTTTGTTACAGAACGATTTGAAAAGTACCTCATAATTTAATAAAATTTGACTCAAATTTTCAGGAATCATTTAAAATGATTGCACGAGAAATTTATGATCGAATTGAGAATGGACAGTTACGTATAGTTGATGGCTGGGAAGGTATTCGAAGTGGCATGATGCGTGCGAAGTCCTTAACATTGTCAGAAGGCTCTGATGCACCATTTTCAACTTGTGCATGCTAGTTGGTCCTGTATTACTTCTCTCAATATTAATCTAACAGATACTGTATATAAAAGTGAAAACAATGTCATTAAATTGCAATTATTTTTTTTTATGATCAGTATTTCCGTGCGCTTTTGAAATTTTAAGAACAATTTCGGAAACATATTAAGTCTTCAAAGGGATTCAGATATCTTTATTAATTAATCAGTTTAAAGAAAATCGACTTCATGTGAGTGATTCTTAGATTTCAATCCTCAATGTTGTTTACTCTCACGGTTTTGTTTGAAAATTCGCAGTTTTTTTGAAATATTTTTTTTATTTGCAGCATTTTTGCTTCATTTATAGATAATAATTCAGTGTGCAGCGTTGCAAGCACAACTGGGACTTGTTTGAGTATGTGTGTGTTTATATTGCACATATGTTGCATTCTTCTCAGTAATTTCCGTGTCTATACTTGTTTGTTTATTAGTGTCTTTGTGCCTTACCATAATAAAAAAAAAATCAAATTCTCATGATTTCTGCTGTTGAAGACAAAAATAGCTAATTTTCCGAGATAATTTGTCGATTGTAGATTTCCTTTCTTTTAAGCGTTTCTTCTTGTTAAGCATTTCTTATTTCCGAGACTGAAAATTGTCTGAGCATTTAATAAATTTAATAAAATTCTGTTAATCCATCACAAGAAAAATTTCAAAATTCAGAAATCAATCTTCATTAAAGATAAATTGTACACTAATATAACATGGGCTACTTGACAGTTTTAATCACAATCATAGATTTTGAAGTGTCTTTGTTATTCTTTAATTGTAATTAGGACTCGGTTTTCTATACAATGTTAAAAATTTTTCATGTACAGATACGCTCTTGTTCTTGAATCCTCTGTAGTAGTTATCTTTTTAGACTAATAACTATTTGTAGATAATGTTTGTGTTCAAATAAATTAATAAAGATGCACAGAGATGTCATATTCTAAGTAACCCTAATTTCAGTTCCCTTTAATTTGATGTGATTGGGTAAGCAGGGACGGGTATATGGAGAAATGGATTGGTTAGTTGTGAATTCTCAATTGGAAGTAAATCTGAAGACGGAATCTTATCAACTGTGTGTATTGTGGGGAACGAAGGTTCTTATCTTTATTATTACTGCAACGACCATTAAGACATGAGCCCGTGTTTTGCAAAAGGTGAACATTTGGTGTTCCGTTCCCTTCACTGAGGTGACTATCTTCTCATATATGATAAATAAATGGATACAAGTCAGTGTATGATGTTCAATCAACTCACAGCAAACAAATATTAGAATAGGAAGGAAACACTTATTTGATGGAATGACAACGTTGTCTGGAGTAATTCAGTAGGTTTACGGTACCATCGCAATAAAACATCCTACATACCAATTTTACTCTTAAATTCTTAATTTTCTATTTATAGAGATATCGTTGTGAATAACAACCGAATAGTGTAATGGCAGGTGATGTCCGCTGACTGTGTGGTAATTTATGTAAAATTGAGGTATATGAGGGAAGAATAGAAAGTTGATATCACGAAGAGAAGCTCCAGGAACTATTGTAACAATACCTCAGAACTCGGTACTGGAAATATGTACCAATGCATTAAATGATAATCAACTAACGCCCTAGAAATAATCAAGACTCCCACATCATACACCGAAAAGATCTCCCGAAGTTTTTTTATACTTTTGTACCTTCGTTTAGCTTAAATTTATCACAGCTTGATTAGTAGCGTCACTGGGCTACTTAATTACGCTTAAAAATATAGTTAACACCGGACGGAACAGAAGAAGAGCAAGCATTTGCACGCATGCATTCACATCAGCAAAGTCATATAATCCAGTGGCATCTATCATTAGTAAGAATACACTTTAAATTAATATCCTGAAAATTTAAAGTATATTTAAAATCTTAAGCGCGAAATTGAACGAGCGTATAATACCAATACAACATACACCTCGCGGGATTGACGTTTTCATTTCCAAGCAGAGGGTATTATGGTTCCATTGACTAACTCTCTTCCGGTTTTTGAAATAGGTTTGTATGCGGTACTCTGAGAAGGTTTTACGATTGATGTGACCGATCTAATTCAAAGCATAACATACGATTGATGTATTTTGCTTTGAATTGAATTGATTTTTCGATAGATATAAATGACCTTAATTTGGTTAAGCTGCAGTGTAAATCCTCTTCATAAAGGTTACTCTCCGCATTCTTGTTTAATGTTTTAGAAACAACAATATTGAGTTAAGAATCATCACTACTTTAAGATTCTTTCTGTTAAGTGCACTCCCATTTAGTGCCAGAGCCTATTGTAATCCCGTTGCAATCCGTATGAAGAATGCAACATTGTCACAAATTAGTTGCATAATGAAGGTGATCTGCTGATCTAAAATATAAAACTCAAGATTTACTAATGTCAAAAGCTTTAGTATCCATTGAATGCAGTATAATCTTCTCTTCCCAAGATTTATGGATTCAAATTTTTTTCTACTCTTAATGTTTTTTAGTCATCTTGAATATAGAAGTTGATGGTGATATTTGAAAGTATAACAGAATAAGATCAATAATTATTTTTTCTAGACATCATAAAATTTTTAAACTAATAACATGATTAAAAATATCATCAATAACTTCAGTCTACTCCAGCAACGACTGCATTTGAAAGTTTTGATTATACACTGATTCATTTTTTTTGCACATAAAAATTTCAGTAATACAAAGGTCTCAAATATATGAAACTGGAAAGGTATTTTATGAGCACAGTAGCATTTAACAGTAATACCAAATTGCGCTAGATACTTATGCACATCTAGGTATGTATATTTTTAGTACATTTTTATTCACTGCTGTTACAATAAGTTGGCCCACGGAGGTATAATCGGTTGCGGATTTTGTAAGTAACTCATAACAACGGCGGAAATTGAGAGCCTGAAAATTTGATATTATAACCGTAGAAAAACTGCGTAAAAAAGCAATTACCAAATAAGCTTTGAGAGCTAGACCAAACATATGATAAGCTAATAAAAATTATTTGCTGCACTTCTGCATTACTGAATCAAAGAAATCTAATGCTTATTTTTTTGGTCTTTCAAAACAAATACTTTCATTTTGTTGCTTTCTGACTAGAACGGATCATTGGATCTGAATGACGGACCATAAAAGAGCTCACATGAAACTGCTAACAATCTGTTTTGCATCATCGCTCGTCCTCGCATTCGCAAAACTAACACAGGAACATAGAAGTGCTACCCAAGCACACCATTTCATCTGGTAGAAGATTAAATTAGAACAGACTTGTAAATCAAAATTCTTTTATTAAGCTTTGGATATAAATAAATGTGCGTCGATCTAGAACATATTATATGTGGTTTTCCAGACAAAGATTCTTTTTCTCGCTAGCGACATGAAAATCTCCTTAGCTCGAAAATAATAGCTATTCACCTCATTTTCTCGCTTTTCGACAAAATTTAACTTTTTTTTCCTTTTAAAATCATAGAAATATTAGCGTATCTTGCAGACAGTCTGACAGAATACTGGGTATTTCACGAAAATAAATGTCCTGCTCACTGAAAATATTTGCTATTGGATCAGTTCGGTGATATGAGCATTTCAGAGAAAAGATTTTATAAATTTTTAAAACAAACTAATAGAAAATAAAAAAAACATACTCTCATCATTAATCCACACATACTAAAAACCATTCCTAACACATTCATATATTCAGGAACTGGGTCGTCTGTAAGCGAAAGAGATGACTGCGGATCTACCGGTTTATATCTAGAAAAATGAAGCAAAAATATTTTGGAATTCGAATTAGAAGTTCATAAAACACATCCATTGTTTACAAAACGACCGAAACCAATTTTTTTTTTTAAGATGAAGGCTTTAAAATTCAAATTCGTTCCAATTCTACTGGAATATTGAGATTAAAAGATGCGACACAGAATCAAGTAAACCAGGATTTTTACCTTACTATATAATCTTACCTTACTATCCTGCCCGGCCTTTTCACATCACCGTTCTGCATACTTTAGTGCAAGAATAATCAACACTAACAAACCTGAAATTCCCATTTGTTTACATTGTTAGTGCAGTACATAATTTCATGCAACGTAAAAGGCGATTTTGCGACATATGTCAAACTTCCACTCAATCTTTAAGTTTGGAATTTTAAAATTTCTTTTGAATCCCACATGCAGAACATCCGACAACATTCACTGGATATTCATTTTATAATAATATAATTCAACCTGCCATGGAAAATGGCTATTTTAAAAACTTGTCATGGCCATAAACTTTTATTCTTTATCATGATTTCTGGATTTTGTAATCAAAAAAACTTTCTGATAGTCGAGGCATTACAATTTTAACAAAGTTATCTCAAATTACAAGCAAACAACAAGAACTATTATAAGATTTTTGACAAGGTAAAAAGTAATCCAGACTAACGAAACAACATGAAAAGGGCAAAATCAAATAAACCACCTAGCAAAATGTAATATTATAATCACTTCTTGAAAAATTTACGTCCAAATAATCCCAAAATTTAACATTCACAAATAATCTGTTAAATCTACTTTCGGGTAATGGTTTTGCATTGTGAAGACACTTCATCCATTTGTTTAAATGACATTCATGTTTAACAACATAAAAAAGTTTAGTCTAGCAAATATCATGAAATTCTTGAGGAAACGGAATCTATAAAAGTTAAATCTTCAGATGCTTTTTTCTTCTGCACCGTACCATTAAAGGTATCAACAAATGTCCGCGCAAGTATATCTTCTTGAATATGTCTTTTCAAAGATCGTTGCATTATTTCGATAATTTCTTTTGCAAAAACTGTTCGTAGAACAGGAATAAGTTTTGCTGAGAGCTTTAGGTCGCTTGGTGTAACAATCATATTGTCCATTGCAATGGTTACATTACCCGCTTTTTCGATATAATCTGGTAATGGTGGTACCTGTAGGCACAATTATTGATTCATGAAACAAGGTAAAATAACAATGAATTAAGGAACATTTGCAATGCGTCTTTCAAAATTTGCTTTTAATATTTTAAAACAAAATATACTTTTGACTTCGCAAGTTCTCTGTCTAACTCCTTACAGTTCGTAAATAACAAACAAAAGAAAAAAAAAACACGAACAGTTAAAAGTTAACGATAGAAGTTCTTCGTCCAGCTTCCTGCAGCTTGCAATTCTCCAATAAAAATTTAAAACATAAAGGAAAATTGTAAAACACAAACCTTCGGATATTTCGCACTAAAATGTGTCAGAATTAAATTCTTCGCATTCATCTGCGTAGCAACATTATAAGCTTGTTTCATTGTACTGTGTTTCTTATACAGGGCATGTGCCTTAAAAACAAAAAATAAATTTGATTCAAAAAACTTGATCCAGAACCTTAAATAAGATAAAGAGAAAGAAGAAATCCGCAAATAAACGAAAAAAAAAGGCCATTCCAGATTCTTTTACAAAACACTTTAATTAAAATAAAAAACCTCTTCATCATCCGCAAAAGTCGATTCATGAACAAGAATTAGTGCATCTTTTCCATGTTTGATAAGCTGCTCACAAGGCATTGTGTCACCGGAGAAAACAAATTTTCGGTTTTTTAAATCGGTAAATACATAACCAACAGCAGTTCTTGCATGATTAACCTGAGATTATGAGATATTTCTGTCAAAATTTGGATACTTATAAAATGAACGTCAACAGCAATTTATCAAAACACTCGTCACGTAGTGTACAAAAAATTGTGTTATTCACCATAAGCATCGATGATTCTTTTAATGACACCAGTAGACATAATATGAAAACTTGTTAGTGGATTATTGAGAAATCAGAAATATAAAAATGAATAAAAATGACCTTAACTGCAACGACACTTTTAAATCCAAGGTTTTCCGTATTTGCAATTTCAGAAGGTATTTCATCAGTCAAATTAGCCGCTTCTACTGGACTTCCCTTTTGTTGAGAATGTCTGTAAAAGTACATTAAGTGATATGAAAATAATTTGAAGTTCTTTTTCTTCATACACTGCGGAAAATCTGAATTTATACTTCTGCAAATTTTGACACAATAAATATTCTTTACTTTGCATTTTAAAAATATCAAAACTCACGTCCACAATATTTTAGAAATGTCCACGATATGCATATCACGTGTATAATTACCAAAACTACGATCGACATCGCGGAAAACTTTTAAAACATGACCACCACCAGCCACAATTAATGGCTTGTAAGTTATGCCTGAAGATTATCAATATGATACAAAATTTGCGAGACATTTCAAATAAGAAGCAGAAACAGCAAAATTTAAGAAGTCAACATAAAGTGCACCTCTTTTCATAAATAATTCTTTGCGACATTGAACGATTGTGAAGATTCCATGATAATGATCCTGATGACCATGTGTAATGAAAACTGCATTCAATTTCAATAACAAATCCTCACAAGCTAAATCACCGAACAAAGTGCGTAATTGACCTGGAAACACACAACTTAGCACTTCATTCCACTAGAATAACGAAAGATATTTTTCAATATTTTTCCACACCTCTAATTACAAGAGAAAATATCCAGAATTATGGCATGCATATCACAACCTAACAAAATATGTAATAAACCACATTAAAATATTCAATTAAAGAAAATTTTTAAAGAGCGGTACTCGAAATAATTAGCTTTAAAAAAACGCAATAAAAGGCAATCAAAATCAGCAGAGATCACAAAATATCAAAGAAATAAAATTAAAAAAACTAACCGTATGATCCTTCGCCACAATCAACAAATATACAAGAATTCTCGTTGAATTGAAGAAAATATGCACTAACATTGCGGAAATTAGTAGGCACGGCTGATGATGTACCAAGAAAACAAATTCGAGGCCAGCTGTCGGCGTTTTCTAGCAGCTTTGATGTTTCAAAAAAATTTAACTTTATGTAGCTGATTGAAATACAAAATATGTAATTCCTACAGATTTTTTGATACAAAATAGTAAGCTCAAAATTGCGGGGTTTTCAAAAGAAAATTGTGTTTACATCGACAGTACTACATTCATAACAAGAAAATTTATAGAAATATATAATATAATTTCCTACATTTGATGTATCATTAAATTTCGACTCCCAGTGAAAAGACTTTTACAATATGGAAAAAAGCAAAAAACTTCAACAAATGAAATCGTTAACTTACTACATATGAATAAATTAATAGCTTCGGAAGTTGCTGAGTCTTCCTTCAATTGCAGCAACAAATCAGTACGAATTAACGATACATTAGGTGGTGATGAATCCACGTTAACAGGCTTGCGCAGAAAATACCGCTGGAATGGCCTAACATAGAGACAGTTATCACTCTTTTCGCAATCATCATCCTGGAAAAGGCAATTCATTTTCTTTTTTTTTTTGGTTAGACTGTAAGAAGAAATAATAAAACCAAAGAATGGGGATAAAACCAGATCTATATCAACTAAGGTGAATGAAAATAAGATCCATATCATTAATTATTTATTTCACAAAATAAATTTAATAAAAATGAAAAACACTATTGTTCATGATTTTTAAATCCTAAAAGCTTCACTATTCTGCACTTCTAACTTCTTCAAAAAAATACAAATATTAAAGAGTGATCTATGTTAAACTCAATAATTACCTGCTGTATCGTACCATTGAATCCTTTTGGATGCAGAGGTGGAAACAACTTTGGACAAATGTGATTCAAGATGACATTGAGACGATACATCGCCTCCATGTGAGGCAGACATGGACCGGTACCGTTAACAATGATATGTTCCACATTCTCTCCAAATGAAGCCATCCATAATCTATATTGATCAGTGCTCAGCACTGATTTTTCAGTGAAATGAACGACATACCGCAAACTTTTGTCCTGATTGCTATAATTCTATAAAAATAAATTATTAAAAAATATAGAGAGGGTATGAAAGTATGTAAAAAAGATAAAAAATGATAAAAAGTATTACGGACAAAGAAATAAATAAAAAACTGTCAAAGAAGGAGAATAAAAGAATAAAAATAGAATAAAATTTCAGTTTCATGTTGTAAATTCCACGTGAACCTGAAATTTGTACTGTCTTTACTCTTGATTAATAGAAAAACATAACTTACTCGGAGCAAAGTATTATTCTTTAATGATGGGAGTTTTCTTAAGTCACTGCATTCAACAATAAGACAAGCATGCAATGGCTTAGCTTTTACATCGCTTAAGACTTCTTCTGCCTGTAGTAAAACCCCATTCATTTATCTATTTTGATCAAGTTTCCGGTTTCAATTATTTAATTTCCAACTTCCTAATATTTCTGATAAACTTCATTAAAACAACTGTCGTAATCTTACTAATAATATCTCATAAAAAGTAAAACGAAAGTGTCAAATATTCCTTGAAAAGAACAATTGGAGATGATAATAGGGAGCTTAACTAGGTATAAAAAAAATTTTAATTTTATAAAAATAACAGATCATATTTTGTCCCATAATACTAGAAATCTCATTCTTAATGTATTCATTTTTATTCAGTTATCCTTATCAAAAATTCATTTGTGCACTTTTTCAATTGTACATGCTAATTTGAGACCAAACATTATGTAGTTCTGGGTAAGGAAGAGACACGTCATAATATTTGAGTGTTGTGCTGAAGCATTCAGGAAATCTGTGTATGCTGTTTAGATAGATGATCCACAATGTTCTCATAATGGAATAAAAAAAGAACCAAAAACAAACCTTGATAAAACGTCCATCAGAGAGCGTTATATTTTCACCATCCTTTAACTGCTTCATGTGAGGACCACCGGGAATTTTCAGCTTCTTAATTTTTTGGATGTCCAGCGGCCTCTGCGGTGGTTTTAATTCAACCAAGAAAGCTATATCTATCTAAAAAAAACTTGGGAAAAATTTGTTTGGAAGAGAGTTTTATTGTATTATAACTTACCAATTTACAAGTAACATTCTCATTTAGTACAAATTTAGCTTTAAAAAATTCACCCTATTTCTCGAAGTTCCAAAGTAAAATTCATTCACATGTTGTGAAGTGCTTATGTAAAATGCAAAACCTTTTCCTGCAATGATCGCTGAGGAGCAGAAAATGTCGATACTGGTATAAAATGTATAGTCAAGGCATCATCTGAGTAGAGGCCGCAGCTCAGTGGACGTTCTTCCACATGCAAACCGAATTATTCATTAAAATTTAATATCATCTATCAGAAAATAACAAAGCATTAAATTTAATCCAGCTGCCAATGAAAGCAAAGAGGAAAAATCTAGTGAAACAAAATTTTAATTTGCTAAGAAATTTGAACTAATCAAAACTTTCGAAATTCCAGATTTTTCGACTTAAAAAATTTGCAAACTGCATAATACTAGAAAAAAAACGGACTGTGCACACGAAATATTACAAAGAAATAGTTAGAGACCTCAGCATTTTCTCCTTCATTGTTGTAGAATAAGTAATTTGAGTTTTATATGAATTATTTCAATTTCAACGAAAGTAAAATTTCAAATCTGAAAAATCATTTTGAAAACAATACTTTAGTGGTCACAGTTGACGGGAAATCAGCATCAGTATGATCATTTTGAGATTCAAAATATTTCGTCTTGTTATGAGAACCATGCAACCTGATAACTCGTTCTAATTTAGATGACGATGATGCTACTGGCGTTTTCAGCAATCCTGATACACCGGCAAAATGGTCCCAAGTATCTGAAAAGTTTACGCAAAAGTTATCAACCTAGCTAATGTGCTTTAGATAGATTACTTAAGTTTGAAGCGTCTAATAAAAGTTCCTATGCAATATCAATAGACATTTATAACTTTAAGAACATCTAAGCTAAACAAGTTCACTATAAATATAAAGCGAACTACCTCGTGTAAAGAAGATATCGGTAAGATTAATAGCTTTTAAACGATTCGAAGCTAGAAATCGTGAGGTGCCTTCCGGACAATTAAACAAATAATCCTTGTAATTAGTATGAATAACGACGCATGGCCTAAGATGGGTTGTGCCGTTGCTTATAATCTGCAATAAAATACTGACTATGAAAAGGATTTCACAGAAGTTAAGAGAATGCTATAAATAGAACTCTTAATTTTAAGCTATAGCCTTCGCAAACAATTCCAAATATTATTTACGTTGTGATTTTTAAAAAAACAAACTTCGATTGATATGCTAGATGGGATTGCTGGAGGAGTTTTTGTTTTGTTCATTTGCTGTATGTCCGCCAGTTCTTTAGTTAAAATTTCCACAGAGGACAAAGCCTTCTTACCAAGATAGGTGCTCTGACTGTGCCTAGAAAGTTATGACAGTTATGTGGACATTGGAAAATCTGTTTTCAATGAAGTACATACAGTTACTTTTGCATGCCAGAAAATACTCTTTGATGCATTTGAATACCTGCCAAGATATTTTTTGCATTCACTTATTTGTCGATTAAGAGCCTGAATAATTTCTTCGATATCCTGTCCTTTTTTAACTGAAAATAATATAGTGCACAATTTTATCGTAAGAATATATTAAATACACTTCTCATCCTTATTGCCTTTAAAAAAAACAAAGTATTTCAGTATACCTCAGAAGTGATATCATTTATAAAAGCTCAGTTTCAGCTCAGAACGAAAAATTTGTCATACTAACTAATAACTATTCGTCAATATGAACTCGACCTGAAAGGTATTTCTTTTGAAGTAAGAAAATGTCGTAGCTCAGAAATCGCGAAGAAATTATTTTTTGCAACGAAGAAGCAATTCGTCCGGCTGACATTCATCGGTAAGAGATATCACCGAATGCCTCCGAACAAAACTGAAATTTCATTTCAAAAGAAAAAAAAAGACTTAAGCATTAAGTCGCGTGGAAATACTACTGTCTTAATAAACTTTGATTTTAGTAATTGAGGAATAAAGTTTGTGAATTCAAGAAAGGAAAACTCGAAGATATCGGACTGGAAAGCAAAATATGGCGTTGATAGTATCTTAAAACAAGTCAAATTAATACGACTTCTCGATCAATGCGATGTATCTTTTGCAGATGACATGACATTGTGTACATTATCACTCAGGAAAGCAACCACCAGTGGAATTCCCTTCACCATAAGTACCGATGACCCTGAGATGGGGAGGTTAAACTAACGCAGTTCGTTAGATATAAAACTTACTGATATGAAAATTGATGAATCTCAGCGACATCACCATATGGTTCCATTTGGTGCAGGAGTTTCATAAGGAGAAAGGTTTAAATTCCTGCTCTCTTCTTTCACAATATTGAGATCTCTCGGGAGAGCATCAAGAATTATTGGATCTCTTCTCTTCCATTCACCGCATTCTCTCATTGAGTTTGTTCGAAAACGGATTTATTTTCCATTTTTTTAAAACAATTTGATATTCAAATAATCGCTCGATAATGAATTGGCTATTTTCATTTAAGATTTATTTAATTTTGCTTAAGTTAAATTTATCCAAGCAAATTATTGCTAGCAATTATCACAATTGGAACTGTGTGGCATGTATTATGAAGCTTTTGGTTCTACATTTGTTTCTTTGTCTGCTCTATCAACCATCTCTTTTCTTGGCGATTGTGCAGTCGGCATCGCACCAAAAATAGTACTTTTGTATTGGCTTAAAAGGCCTACTCCACCTTCATCACTTTTTGTCCTTGGAATTGATTTTTCCCAATCATATGGATATTCCTGAATTGGATACAGGCATAAATTTACAGGATTTCAAATTTATTTTTTCGAAGGAAACAATCTCTTCGTTTCAAAAATAATAAATACAGAAAGATAGAGAAATCCCACACGATAGAGAAATCCCCTCAAACCTGACTGCTTGTTTCCTGAATAGCATTACGCATCAGACTATAAATCTTTTCATAATCAGGTGTGTCGAAAAATTTCGTCTTATCGCATAATTGAAGTATCTCAATGTATCTTCTCGGACAACCGCCGAACAGTTTTTTTATACCTTTGTCTTTGCGACATCGCTTTTTGGATATGCCAATAGCATTGATTTCCTAAAATTGACAGTCATTCGTCTATTATTCGCTCTGTCTTCTACGTGTAAATGAGTCATTTGCGTAATGCGCAAGTTGTTTCACAGTGAATGTTTGTTCTTGTTAGAAATGAAATGTGTATTCGGTGAAATGCTTCCAATAATACTGATTTCAATGCCCATTCATTACTTTTCTCTTTTCTCCGATCTTCCCCAAATATTTTCACAAATTATTCAGCGCTTCTTTCCTATCTTTTACCATTATATGAAGAACTAACGTAACCAATCATTAAATTTATGCATTTAATGATCGTTTTATTTGAAAAATTTTAACAATGTCTACTATTTGCTTTTAAGATGTGTGCTTTTTTTAGCATTCATGTTCATCACCTGCTAATGACTCATTTACCCAGCATTTATTATATATTCAGCTGTCACCGTCATATTCCTCCAAGGTAGTTTTCCATTGGTAAGCTCGACAACCATGTACAACCACGATTCTACATCATCCTTCCGACACAGTTCGCGTAATATATGAGCCGATAACGGAGCATACTTTACAGTACCGCGAAATCCAGTTAGTGCTCGAGGATTTCGCATCGTGCCATCTTCATGGATATACAATCGAGCCATGCCAAAATCAAGAACGTATACCTGAAGCGTTTTTGGTACTCAATCAATTAACCTAATCTTAAATTCTGAGGACTAAAGTACGAATAAAGTACTTTAGTTGAGAATATTCTATTATAATCTTGTTATAATTTTCTGGCAATAATATGAAAAGTTAATAAATTGTCAAAAGTATTGGGTTATATCGAATTATTAATCATTTTCTGATTACTATTGTACAAGCTCCAAAATTCTAGAAATTTTAAGAAATCGATACGCTTCGTAGTTCGTTGACTTCGGGTCTACCGATGGCAAAATTGCCCGGTTTAACGTCTCGATGCAAGTAGCCAACATTATGCAAATCTTCCAATGCTTCCAAACATTTAATACCGACACTGATCGCTGTTCCTAATGAAAATTTTTTGTTCTGAGCCTCTAATCGTAGATCCTGCATTATTCATACTTACAAATGTTATTAAAATAAATTCTGTCATCCATGTTGTTTATAGTATACATCAATGACATTTGCGCCCGTCAATTTCTCATTACTCCATTTTAAATACTCTTTCACTATCACTTATAAATCGCACTGTCATACCAAATTCCACCTGATTCAATATGCAAAATTATAGCTGCACTTGTAGGTTTAAAGGACGGAGTAATCATCTCGGAAGAAAAATTTTCGTGTAGGGGCTACATGAAAATAGGTGTGCGGGAATTTCGTTGCTTACAAAGCTAAGTTCGTGGATATGTCTTTAAGTGAAGCAGTGACTTTCTCACGCAACACTTTTATAGTACAGGTAAAAAACAAGGATCGAGGACATACAACAGTCTTAATCTCCATCTTTGTGATTAATAATTTAAAATAAAATATTGACCTGTAGCGATCTTCCAACCAAAGTCATAACAATGTAGAAGAAGTCTTTATGTCTACCTTTATCCTCAATGGTACAAAAATGTCTCAGGCGGTCTTGCTCCTTCAATTTGCTCAGTACCGTTAGCTCCATTTTCAAGAAGCCAACTTTCTCATGAACACTTTCTACCTGAATGATTTTAGAATAATTGTCCTCGGTTTTTTAATTTGAATTATAAACACATTGATTATAAAATAGCTATTTGAAGTCTTAACTAATCCTCCATAAAAGAGCAAATCACCTTGAGCGCATATTTCTTATTCTCCTTGGAACAAACATATACAGCACCGAAGGCACCTTCCCCAAGTTTTCCATCAATCTTCCATCCTTCTACAATACTGCCAGTTTCAAGTTGTACTAATTCTCCCATCTAATTTCAACACAACTAACTTCGTCTTTTTGAAATTAACAATTTGAAAAGATGAAATGATGGTATGCAACACTTTCAAATTAATATTGCTACTAGATCACTGCAGATATACCGCCTTTTTGCAATCGAACAAATTAACAATGGATTGTTGAATCTAGCACGATATTTTAATACCGCTTTTTACAGACTTAATGTTCAAAATTTATTACTCACAATCGTTAGGAATTTAAATAATTTTAACTAAGGATATTTTGTTTTAATATTGATTAACTTTGAAAATAATAGCAACGGTTCAATGACTATTTGAAAAGACGAAATGATTTTCAAATTAATATTGCTGCCGGATCACTATAAATATACTGACTTCTTGCAATTCAACAAATTGACAATGGATTGCACAACTTTTTTTATGGGCAACACAACTTGAAATTTTCATCTTTTCATGTTTTTATTTAAACACTTTTGTCTTTATTGTGCTAAAAATTTTCACTGACATTTGAATTCCCAAAAAAACGTTGCCGTCATTGTTTCAATATGTTGCATTTTGCGTTTTTTATTCATTCTTACCAAAACCCATTTTGTCCAATCTAAATTGCTAAAATTTTTCACATTAGTAATTTTCCTTTCATCGAGTGATTGGTTGTAAAATCGAAGGATTTAACAATTTTGTAGCTCGTCTCCGCTTTACAATAGGAAGAGAAATATGATCCGATATGCATCCTCGATTTAGCCCATTCTATCCGCTACATTTTGACATTTCAGCATTTCCAAAATACTTTAATTGGAAAAATTGTGTTGAAACTATTTCGCATGCTACGCAGATCTATATTTCTGAAATTAAAATTTCAGATTACAGTCTTAAATGTAAAGAAGCAGAAATGATGGAAAACAATATACAGCTTTAAACTAGATTTTTATAAATTCTGATTTTTTCGATTCCCCATGAATTTTCTTAATTTATAAAATTGATCTCAGCTGCAATTTTTAAAACAAATTTAGCTATATCAGAACTGTTTGGCATTTCATTTGTATTAATATTCGTTAAATACATGCTTATGCCATTAAACTATCGGCTTCCTCAAAACCTGATCACAGCCTATGAAATTATTATTGACAATTGTTAAAAGTACAAAAAGTTGAGGGATTCAACAAATTTTGAAAGTCTGACCAAATTTGAATTCTTGATATCAAATTTTTGAAATTCTATCTTGATCGAGCGAATACTGTAAGTATTGAATTTTTTGAGCATCAAAACGAATTAAATCTTGGTTAGGAGAAATTTGAAAAATCGAATTAATTCACAAATCTTAAAAGGTGAACATGGCTAAGACTAGTTTACAGAAATAATGCTAAACATGTCAACGCGCTAGGTATTAAAATTTTAAATTGTAATCATAGACAGTGCTTATTTTGCAGTTTTAATGAAGCTCAGTTTGTAAGAACATTTTACATTGGCAGGAATTTGAATATGATTAATTTTCAATCTTCGTTGTTCCTTCATAATTATTCAATTGCTTAGTTAAATTTCTTTCCTGCGGATATTCAAGCTCTATTATTTGTTGTGTTAAATTTTCAGATCATCAACGAATCGAACATTAGCTTTGAAATATTTTGGATATTTTTCACTCAAATGACTATATTCAATCCATGAAACTCAATAACAAGGTCAAAAACAGATTTTCACTGGTGTAAACATTCAATTTGGGCGCTTTAGATGAGTATGAAAGAGAGGGAGAGTGAAAACAGCCATTTAAAATATTTACAACAAATTCATGCATCCATGAATCGAAATAGATTTAAAATGGTTGGGTGAGCTATAAAAACTGCTTTAGAGGTGGAAGAGATGTGGAAAGGGAAAGGTATGCAAAGCGATCGGATTCAAATTATTTTGTTGAACTAGATTTTCCGATTCCATCCTGTGAAATGAAAAAGCATCAAAATATGAAGGCTATACAAAAATATTTATGTCATATAAACTTCAACTATTTGTATCAGTTTTTTACAAGTTATGAGGAACTAAACTACACTTAAAATATAGTTTATTAATTTTTAAACGGTATCAACAACCATTCCCATTGATGAATTCTCTATTACACAGTATTATGGTAAACAACAATGTCTTCTTGCTATCACTGTAACTTTCAATCCTAAAGATCAATATGTCAGCACAGCGGTGAGAGGAAAAGTTTTCTGCATTAAATTTTTGAAATTCCCAACAAATTAATTAATATTTTACGAAGATGAAATTTATTATAAAATTACAAATGATTTGTTGACTCAAAAAAATTACGTATTCATTGGGAAATATTAATTTGAATTGTCATGGACAGATACACAATATTGCTATCAATAAATTTTATTTTAACACAATAATTATAGTCCATTTGCTAAAATATAGTATTGTTGTCAAATCCAATAAAATTTCCAACCAATATTTGACGTTTGTCATACATTTCATATCATAACATAATTTTTCCATATAATTGACCAAATATGGTGAGGAAAATGCAGTTATGCACTTGTATTTCATCCTAAACTGTTATTTCCGAACATCGAAAGTATTGTTTACGAAGAATTATCAGTATTATTTCAAAACTTTTTTATTTATGAGTTTAAATTAGCAATTCCTTGTTTCCAACATTTCGCAGATTTGAATCTTACATGTTGAATAAGTTATTTGTTTATTAAACAAGAATGATATGTGTATTTTTATTATGGCAATTGACGGATTAGTTTTTATAATTTTATATTTAATAATTTTTCATTTATCATTTCTTTTGGAATTAATTATTTAGGATTACATAAATTTTTAATCAATAAAATTTAAGTTGCTTTCTTTCTTTTTATATTAGATTTAGGCAAACTTGCATAATACGAAGATAACCAGCTTATATCGCACTTTTTATCAAATCTAACCATTTTTTTGATCCTAGCAGATCGTGATCTGTACTTCAGACCTTCCTATGCTGCAAACTTTTATATCTCTATAAGAAATAAAGGTCAATTTATCTTAAAAACTAAATAACATTGTCCGATATTAAGCACTATATTTGATCGACTATGAAATAATGGTACATATCACAGAATTCTACTATTGATTTGGCAGTCAATGTATTCCAGTTTTTTTTTCACTATTTTAATTGAGTTACTTTAATTGGCAGTATTTTCCGAGTGAAATTGAAATGCGAAAAGAAGGATTAAAGAAAGGTAAAGGTTATGAAAGTAAATGCTACTCAAAATAAAGGAAAGTGTCGGTTTTTTAATTTGTAATAGTATGTAGAGGGAATATTAAAGATATGCTATATATTCATTTGTTATAAGCGATTATGGAAAAATTCAATTAGATATGAGGAATGTATTGGACAATTCCATATCAGATGCATTCCAAATTTCTAAATATGACAAAGTGTTCTGCAGTAATTTTACATTCTATTTCAGCAATTAATTTTTTTCGTTTTGAAAAACTCACTCCAATTTTATCTCATTACGGTATTATGAGAATTTATTTCTCTTCAAAGATAAATGAGCTGTAAAACAGCGATTTGTTTCATTGTCGCAAATAAATAGAATTCAAAATCGCTTTAATCTTAGAATCATTTATTAAGAATCCTTAAAAATCCAAGTATCAAATTTACAAAATTAAAATATCTTTCATAGTCTTTTTTTGAAACTTCATGCAATTTAAGCGTGTTGATGGCGTTAAATATTTCTATTAATTTCATCCGTGCATACATACTAGTGTGAAATTGACCATTATGAAAACCCTAAAAAAATGTGTCACAATAAGTACCTTTATGTTTGTGTGCCTTTAAAGAAAGCGTTAAAAAAGTGGAAGAGGTGGGCTTTTGGAGAAAAGAAACAGGATTTTTTGATCGCAATATATTTTACTTTAAAGGCCATAAAATATGCAAATTCTTCACTACCACCATTCATCTGTCATCTATTTTCCATCATTTACCAACTAATCATCACTGTACGACAATCCAATATTCAAAAATGCAATTACACATTTGTAATGTCAAACACTGAAGATAGGAAAGATATAAAGTAAACATTAGGAGGATTAGTTTGATTATTTCATTTGACTTCCATTGCTTTGCAAAAATAATGTATTTTGTATAAAAGGTCCTTTTGTACAAAAAATAATGTATTTTGTACAAAAATAATGTATTTTGTATAGAGTAATCTTTTTCTGCCTTCTAAAAAAGTTACTCTTTCATGGCTGCTTAATAATTATTAAAACTTCTCATCAAATTGTAAAAGAATCACAACATTTGTTATCCTACTGACTCAAGATCTTTGAAACTACAAATTAATAATCTCACAAAATGAATTTTCAAAAATATCTTAAAAAACATTGCTAAGAACAGTGTATGATTCGAAGATTTCCGGAATATTGTATTAAAACATAAATTAAAATATTTGACAGTTTCATTTCACAATGATTTAATCTCTATCATTCCCATTTTTAACACGTCGAAACAATTCATTTTCATATATGCAATAGTAACAGATCATTTAATCTGCCGTTTCCAATAAATTTTTGCTATTATTCCCAATTCTATCTTTAAGCATTTGCTATTACCTGAGATTTTCCCAAAAGAAACTGATAATTTCAGAAAATGCTGACTCATCACATTCAAATGTTTACTTGTAAATTTTACATTTTAAATACAGCAATTTGTTCAAGGACCGCCCTGTAAGCTGCTGGACAATGGAATAGCAAGAGATTGGAAAGACTGCTGAAAATCGCATATAAATTGCCGATCTGCCTTTTCAACAAGCTATCCGCTCAGTTTCTCTTCTTGAATCTTTCCAGTAAAAAAACCCACTGGTCACCAATACTGGACAATGTCCTTCAATGTACTATCACTTTCCTACCTTCTAATTCCATTTATACCTGTCGTTCTTCCGGTAAATGTTTTCTTTAAAAATCTGAATAATTGCGGGAACCTGTTTGATATAATTATTGCAAGTATTATAGCTTTAAATGACTATCAAACATTTAATATCAAACTTCTATTCTTTAACTCCTTACCATCCCAGCCTGCGTAAATAACATATGCATTGAAAGAATAGAATAGTTTTTAATTACTTTTTTTTAAAAGGAACTGATCCCTTTTTTTAACGATTGCTTCATATTGTCAAGAGAGAGAGAGAGAGAGAAAGAGTTTCACTCATCAAAATAAATGAAGAGAAATTCTTTGTGAAAAGTAGTATCAAACAGTTGCACCTGTATTTACAGTGCCTTGCAAATGGTGTATGCGGTCCAGGCATTGGTGGAATTGGCGGTTGTCATCCTCAGATTCAACCGCTCCAATCGACATGTCAACCACCCTGTGCCCCAGGCACTCACTGCGGTCCATATGGTTGTACACAATTTCGAGCACGAGCTCGTAGCGCAAATGTTTTCAAACCAAATATGGAGAACAAAGAATCAAAAGTAAGCTTAGAAAGACACAGATTTTTCAAAATCAATTTATAACTTATCATTTTAAACTTATTAAGAGAATGAAGATGGAAAAAGAGCAGATGTATTAGCAAAGATCGGATTTTGTTTGAATTTTCAATTAAACAGTGTGGAAACTTTATTACCGAAATTTCAAAGTTTGTAAATTACAGAGCCCTAATCAATTGTTCATGGAATGCTGTAAAAGAAGAGGACTTCCAGAAGCTTGCTTGCAAAAATGTTCCATTCAGGATTACACCAAAGATGCGGTACTCTAGCATAACAAAAAAATATGACTAAAAATTTTATAAATCACCTTTGAATTTTTATGAAGTTAATACAAGCAATACAAACTATTAAAGTTTAGGTTAAATCGAAGAAATTGGAATTAGAATTAGATGTGAATAAATTAGAGGGTTACTTGTACAATTCTTACACCTAATCTTGATTTGCATGTTTGCCTTCAGCATAAAGCCGATATATTTTCTTTAAAATTTATTAGTGCACTGAAAAAATGCGTATTTGCTTCATTTATTTAAAATTTTTATATTGTATAAGTTTAAATTTACCTTGTAGAAAGTGGATGCTAGATTTCTTGAAACATACACATGCAACTTGTTATTTTTCTAAATGAAGCAATTTCAGTTAATTGACAATGAATTTAATTATTTCAACTATATTTTAAGGAAAAAAAGATCTCGTAAATTAATTTTTTGATAGTAATATTAAGAAAATCATGCAAATACTTATTAGCTTAATTCGTTCATTGAATTTGTTTCAGTTGATAAACATGTACTTTAATCGTGATCCTTGTCCTGTATCGGCCGTTGCTGAAATACAATTCTGTGCTGCACAGGGACGCGATCATCGTCAGTGTTGTGCTCGAAATGGTAATTTTTTGATGCATTTAAAGTTTATTTTTATCATTTTATAGAATACCCTTTCATGCTACTAATTTAAATTCCATACTATTTCACTGTTTCATAATTCAACTAACTTCTCTCTGCTCGTCTTCATTGGAGAAATCTTGAAATTTCGATGGTTTATTTTATACAGTAAAGTACGTTTAGACAAAAACCTTGCAAATAAATTATTTTTAATCAAAAATATTATTTACTATTCCAAAAATAATTACTTATGAGATATAATATTTATCACGGTGTGATGTACCATGGAATTATTTTAAAAAAAGATCAGAAAAAGTTTTCTCATAACTTTACTTTAAACATAAAACAATTAAAATTATTCAAAATTAAATTTGTTTAATTTATTAAAAATTTTACATCAAAAATGATATATCGTGTTTTATATTTCCGTTTTCCGATTCTTCTGAGAAGATTCATTCCTGCTAGTTACATTCATTATCAATTATCAAAATAGTAATCTTTAATCACTCGTTGTATTTGCAATATATATCAATTTTTATTAATTATAATGCGTTCAATTCAAGGAGTTGGAACAACATTAGCCGGCGAGAAATGCTTAATATTCTGTGATCAACGCCCAGGCAACATCACACAGCTCGATTATAGCTATTTCATTTGCTACGATCGTTTTGAGAGTATTAAAAGCTGCTTCGTGCACGATATGATGGCGCAAGATTCATTGCAACGATTTTCACGGCATTTTTAATTTGCTATCCTCTGTTGTCGAATTATGGCATTTTTCCATTTTTTCCAATTATTTCCATGTAGCATTATTCATATATTTTTAAACCTGTTTGTTTGTCGTTTTTAAAGTTATTATGATTATTACTGTTTGTGGAAAAAATTTAACTTCATGATGAGTTGTTGATTTTAAATGCAGAAAAATACAGGCCTTTAACTTTTAAATCTAAAAGAAATATTTTTAATTTTAAAAAATTTTCAAAGGTCTGATATTTTTTAAAACTTTGACAAATTGAGAAAAATAGTTCCATATAATTGAATTTAATATGATCAGTGATTTATTAAAATTATTATAAGAAATAAAAAATGTGCCCCGACTCTCATATCTATCCCAGTTCTTTCGGTTATCTTATCCTAAGATCATGTGCGTTTGTACTGCTAGGCATAATATTTCTCTTATTCTTCCTTAGAATTATGAAATTTACATTAACCTTATCTGACTAAATTAATTTCGTTAAAAATTTTTCCTTTTTGAAAAAAAAATTCAAATTTTTTATATTTTGCAAAACATTTGAAGTTTGAATTAATTGATAAATTTCAGTTTGTGATTTTTCAAGAAGTATAAAAAAATTTATAAATAATGCTTCAATTTTTTCATGCTTTAAGAATTTTTCGAATTTTATATTTAATTACTTCCTGCAACAATTAATCCAAGTTTGAAATTCAAAAATATTGCTATGAATAAGTTCAAAATTTTTTAATTTAATTTTGAAAAAAAGAGAAATAAAATAAAACATAGTTCACGGGGAAAAACCAAGGAAATGCATTGATTTTCTAAAATTTCTCCGCTATTTGTCCATGAACTTATAGTCAAATATTAATTTCATTCTAACAACTATTAAACATGCAAATTAAATTAAATTATATTAAAAGGAAATGTGAGTGATTGGTTTTTGAATTTATTACAAAAATAGCATGACTGTTATTGATTTAAAAAACTACTGGAAGATGTAAGAAAAATGTCACGCTTGTCATTTCTTATGTCCTTCTCTTTAACGTCTCTGTACTTTGAGAGAAACTGTAAAAGTTCTTAACAAAATTAACAGCCTGTTTTTTCAAGAATTGAATGATGTTATTAAAAATAGAAAATCTATTTCAGCTGGGTTAAAATATATTTCAAATCGGTTATTTTTTTAAAATAATGTGTCAAATGTCGATATCTTGCTGTACTTTAAAGGTTTAATTTAATTTATAAGTAACAAACAAGTTCACAAAATTGAAAAAGAAATTATTAATGGATCAAATGGTCGTTATTTTTAATTAAAATGAAAATGAAAGAATAATTTCGTATCATTTAACCTTTAATCGAAATTCTCACAGGAAGTTATACTTGCAAATGGCGGTATTGTCAGAATGTAATTCATAATGATCTTCTTAAGGAAAGTTTGCCAAAGTAAATGAATGTTTAACTATTACAAAAGACAAGTGATGAATGTTCCATGCAGCAGAAATAATGTAGAAATGAAATGATTTTATTTCATTACCAAAATCGAAATAAACCGAAAAAAAAACATGAAAATTTCCACTTCCGGGGAACCACCGCAAACTGTCAATGCGCTTTTTTATAGGCAACTGTGTAAATTTTGCAACCGTTTTCTGTCAACCCTTTAAGATGGTGACAAATGACCGATTTAATAAAAAGTAACCATTTTTTGGAGTGCATGTTCGTCTATCATCTCTCTCTCTCTCTCTCTCTAATATATATATGTATGTATACAGATGGGAAGGAGTGTTTGTGATTCACTAAAAATCAAATCATGTTTGGCTCCTCTACTTTCTCACCTGTCAACCATTTCCGGTGTTTTAAGAACGACGATAAGAAAATGCGAAGATTGTCAATTTTCTTCAAAGAAATATAAATGGCATTGTTTCCATCTCCACCCCTTTTCGTTACCTCATTGTTGAAAAACTCGAAGCATTTTTGTGAAGAAATTCATCCCTTCTTATATTGGTACTTCCGGGAAAGGTCTCGATTACATGAAGTTGATGGGTACCCTTTTTTTTTGAAATATTACTGCTAGATACACCGTCTCGGTGTCATCTTAAATCTCTTGCATTTTACCGTTCCATTGTTTTTGCAGCCCAAAATTATTGCATACTTTAAATGCAAAATTAATTTTTGATGTCATCGCAACCATATATTAGAGTTATCAGTTCACCCTCTGCATTTTATTTCATTCTTCTGATATTGCCGAGTTATGCAGTTGGATTAAGCTTGGAATATGTATCAGATTTCACACTTACAACTAGAAAAAATTATGAAATAATTAATCGAGAAGTAAGTTAATAGTTAAACTAATCTGTGAAAGCTATCGACCCAAATTTTTTATTATCTTTGATGTAAGGAATTGATTATTGAACTGAAAATTTTTTCCATAAGTAAAGCGAAAATAACAGTAAATGGATGGTATTCAAATAGATCACAAAAAACTAAAAAAAGTGCATCAATTCATTTTTAAGCATTCTTTTTCTTGAATATATTCAATGGTAGTTTATTTAAATTATCAGGAATTGAGCCAGGAGGAGGAAGGAAGACAACAGGACACAGAAATCAGCCAATCGAAGAGTGTCACAGAGTTATTCACAAAACTCAGCCAAGAAAATAATGCTAAGTTTGATAGTAATTTGAAAAAAAATGTTGGAATGATGGTACGAATAACACCACGAATGATCAATTATTGGGCAACGGTAAGACTTTGAAGAGAAGCAAATCTGTCTTGTTATCTTCTTTGCATTGATATTAAAAACAATAATGATAATATGTTAATATTTTATAGTTACTTTCCAGGAACTGAAACAGATCTTTCAAAAAGAGCTAGAAAATAAAGAATTGCCAGAATTTTCACGTACTTTGATGAAATTAAACGTATCAATTCTTACGCCACGAATTCACAATATAAGACTACCGAGATTCAGTTACAAGGTTTGATTAAGATTTTTGATTACTGGGATAATTTTCATAATTTTTGACGATAGAAATAAATGAACTGAGAATATGAGAATGAAAGGGAATGCGATTCTGGCAAAGTTATTTAGAATTATTTCAATTTAATCATTAATAGCAGAAACACAAAATTCATATATTTTTTCTTACTTCTTACTTTGATTTATTTTTTTAAAAATATTTTGCTTCAGCATACGATAGAAAAGCATATTTTTTTCTTATTCGGAATGTAAATTTGAATTTCATTTTAAATTTCCAGAGAAATTGTTCAGACTTACAAATTTGTTAGTATTAAAATTTTAGGTGCAATGCAATAACACCATGGAGATAATATTGCACGGTGGCTCAGCACAACTGTTAAGCTCTTATCGGGCAGTGTATCGAACCATTCGTGAAGGACATTTGGAAGCAAATATGAGCAACTTCATAATTAATTTGAAACTTAAAATTTCTACAACATTTGCTGGAAAATTATTGGTAAATATATTTACATTATGTATATAATGAGTTTCATTTGAGTGGGAATTAATCGAACTTTTTGATTTTTAAATTTGCAATTATTGCTCAATAATATCAAATCTTCCTTAGAATAACAATAAATTAGGTCTGTTAAGTTAGAAGCTTAAAGAAAAATCCTAAATTATACATGATTTTCAATTATAAGTCATAACTTAAAAAGTTAGATGACTGTTTTATTTGAATTTAAATTTTTTAGCTGGAAGATATAGTTTGTGGTGCAGAAGTACGATCAATTGACATTAAGTTGACACCAAAATTACACGAACTGGTTGATCAAGGCTTGCGAGTAGAATTAGATGAAACTGTTTCTGTTGCGATCTGTGAAGCTCTGGAAGCTTTTACAAACAAATTTGAACAGCGTTTGAATAAATTGATACGCTCACCGGTCGTTGAAATAAAAGTAAGCAATTTTTAAGTCTTCGTATATGAAAAATGATCTGTAACAAACTCAGTTCATCTTGTTGTAATAGCATTTCTATTTTTCATTAGAAATTCTCAACTTATTATACAAATCCCGAAATAAATCTTAGGCGCCGTTTTATCTTCTTGGCTTATTTCAACAATCTTATTAGGTTGTTTAGATAAGCTCAAATATTTATCCATCTTTTTTCAAAAGAGAATGCTTTTCGTAGAAATTTTTGCGAAACTCTCCCAGAAAACTTCTTTAACTCTCAGGAAAGGTGTTCTGAAAAAAGTCTCGCAGAAACTTTTATGGCCAAAAATTTCAATTTTTTTTAGATTAATGATACTGTAACACATCTCCTCATTGATACTACAATAAGCAATGGTATTTTATTAACTGAGGACTATTTCGATTTTCCACTTCTCGGTAGTCCTACGGTTAAGAAATTGAAAAGTGATGAGCATCTAATGGTTTGTTCACTGCATAAATTTCCAAAGAAAATTGTTAATTAATAAAATAGTTGTTGCATCATCAATTAATTAATCTATCAAACTTAGAATCATATATTCAGAATTTGATTGAACACTTTACATTGATCAATCTACCATTTTAACAATCAATTTCAGTATATATTAATATGTTCTAGTCACGTTACTTTTTGTTTTTCGTTTTTTCTTAGGAGAAATTTTTAGAAATCACCGAACGATAAAGTGGAAATGGTTTATTTGTATGTCTCAGAATCGGTACTTAATATGTTCTTGAAGCAGCTTGCAACGTTTGGAGATACAGCATTGCAACTGTACGCTGACCCAGAATTTCAGAAGATGCTAAGCCTAAAATGTTCTGAAGATGAAGAATGCATGGGTGATTTGCTGCAGGATACAGAACTGTATGTTCCCGATTCAGGTGCACTCTTTTCCAAATTATCTTCAATTCTGTACATTACCGCCTCATGAGAAATTGAAGAATTTGGCTATATTAGTAGCATCAAAGTAAAAGTTAATGAATATTTTAACTTACTAAATCGTACTGTCATCTGTTACCGAATTAAATGCTTATTTAACAAATTGAAGCGTATTAAAAAGAACATATTTTAACAATACAATTAATTAAGCAGTATAATTTAAAATAGAGATTGGAAGTATTAGCTGAAATTTAGGAGTTGAAAAATTTTGCTCTTTTCTAAGATTATCGATATTATAGACTATGTCATTAAAAGTTCAGTGCTTTGTGGCAAGAAATTTGTTTCATAATTATAGCAGATGTAAAATATAAAAATACAAATTCAGGTCGTATGATCATCAAAATCCGCTCACCATTAGTTGCATCAGTTCGAAATGGTTTTGCATTGATTGATTTGCATCTGACAAGTTTTGTAACTTACAAACAGGAAGATGTGGATGTGAAAGTATTGGAATTTGAATGGCTTGCAACAATACATGTCAGCAATGAATATCTGAATGAGCATCTTGCTGAAAGAGTACAAAATCATTTATTTTCTAGTACAATATATTATAAGGTTTTAGGCATGTTGACCATTTCGACGCCTATTTCTTTTCGATGCACAATTTATTAAAATAGCTCTCGCATATTGTTAAGAATTAAAATCTTCAAGTAATTCTTAATGTTTGTTAACCAAATGTTACTCAGGTACGAGTCAGAAAACTGCTTTGTTGAAGTTTATTAGGTCTATGATTAGTTGTCGTACTCGAATCTTGTAATAATTGAATGTAATATTTATGCTATGTTCAGTTAGACGAAGAGTATAATAATCTCTATTTCAGTATCAGTCAGCAGAGAATACAAATGCATCACTACAAGTAGTCAACTTAGTGGTAAGTAACATAACACCGTATGTTGAAGTGATTCCGAACTATGGCGAACACCTGTTGCGATTAATTTCCTCAAGAAAAAAACTCTTGGAGGTTAATTTTTGATGTTTCACTAAGCAATTTACTTGTTATTGTAAGCAAAAAAAGAAGAAAATTTTTAATGGAACATATATGACAAAATAGAGGAACTGAAATTTAAATTTAATGCTTCAGCATACTATTGGCTATCGTTTTAAAGATAGCAAATGACTTGCTGATCACAAAAATTTTAATACCTTTCAATTGCACAATGAAAAATAATTTTATTGAAAATTTTTTATACATCTTTTACAATTTTTTCTTGTCACTCTCGATCAATTTTTTATTAAATTCTGATTTAATTTGTAGAAATTACTTGCGGAACAATGTTCATTAGCAAGAACAACAAATACACTGTATAAAATGGTGTATTGTACAGCGACTTTTCGAAATGGTACACTTGTGATTGCTACTGGCTTACAGTGGAATGCGGAATTGTTTTACCAGTTCAGCTTGTTTAGTTAAGTTGGTTAAGCTGTATGTAAAAATTTTGTATCATAATGAAAGATCTGTATCACGACGAGCTTCTCCTTTTGTCAGTAAATTAATTAATATTGCTAAACTTTATCATGTTATCATGCTAAGCAATATTATCATAGCACATCGGTACATCTGATGCAAATAACTAAAGCATTAAATAGAATATCTTAAATAATTATCGAACCATTCTAATATCGAGATGATTTGCTTTTTCTTTTTGCTTTGAGAACAATATCATGGTCCTATTTGAACTTTAAGCGAATTTCAGTATTAAATTTTTTTTCATTAATGTTGCTTATGAAATTCGATGCTGAGTAGTTGTGCAGTACCTACTAAATCTTCATCTATCACTAATTAAAATGTATAATTTGCATTTCCTCTCTCGTTGTATTTTTTTTGTATTTCAAATCAATCCGCAAAAAAGAAATGAAGCTGCACACGATTAATAATTAATATTGCTTATATTTCTATCAAAAGTTGACTTTTTTACCGCAAATAAACAAAAAATTTAATATTTAGTAAGATATCTGTTATTTTGTATATATTTTTGATGATCTCATTCGATCGTTTGTGATTGATAATATTGATTCATTCTTTGCTTTTATGAGATTCTTATGAATAAACGCTCATCATATTTCTAACCATTTCCAGAAAATATAAAAAGCAAAACGAGGAAAAAATGAATAGTCAAGTTTTAACTATACAGAACTGAAATTCTCATTTCTTTGAGATAACGAGAAGTGCAATTTAAGTATTGGCTATTGTCGCGAAACTAATCACTAAAGTTACAGTCATGGACTTAAAGTACAATTAGTTTCCAATCATTCGTTATACCCGATGCAGTAACCATACTAAACTTAATCAAAGTCCCTAAACGTGATCGTCTGGATGCGGAAATCAGTCGTGAATCTTTTATTTTAAAGAAACTGACTGCATCGATATTCCACAATAATAGTGAATCGACTCATGTGAATCAAGAAGCATTCTCGAAATTCAATAATCAAACTAAAGTTTGATGGATCGAATAGAATTGAAGATGGTTTTAAATTTATTTTAAAGTTATGCTTTCACTAGAAATTCTTTGGATTATTATATAAAGAATTTTGATCAAATCTGATAAAACGTTTATCAATAATTCATGTTTAATCGACAATCAATATGCAAAAATCAATTAGAACGTTGTGTTCTTGATGTGGCTAAACGTCGTCGTTCTTTTGTTTGTTTAGCTTGTCTTTTATTCAGATTTATAATCGGTCCATGATATTTATGATTTGGATCCCAGTCAAGCGGATCATCTGCTGCTATATGATTTGCCGAAAGAATGGAAAAATTTTTATCAATCACTTGGATATATGAATTTTTGAAATTTTCTGCTTCCTTTTCAAAATAATTAATAAAAATGAAAACCCGACATCTGAGAACTCAAAATAAGTATTAAATTCTAATAATGAACTATAGTTCAAATCAACTTGAATTGATTTCAATTTCTTTTCAAGGAGCAGGAATGATACCTTGGCAGCATGCTGTATACAGTAATAAATATGATCATAATCTGGTATACTTTCATATTCCAATGAATCTATGTATTTCATTATTGTCGAAAATTCACGTTTCGGACATTGTTTAAAAAAATCATCCATTGCTTCACCTTCACGTACCTCTTCTTTCCATTGTAAGACTTCTTCTTTATCGGGTCCCTGTAACCGAGACTAAATTTACCTGAAATCTCCTACTACTTATGTCAACGTTACAATTTTGGCCATGACAGTCATTAGTTATTTATTTTCGTTAATTGTTACCCACTTTACCCCTTGTCTCCTTCCATAGTATATTATTCCATCTATGATTCCTCTCAAAAATTTCATTGAAAAGAATGGATTGCCATTTCGATTTAAATATTAAACCTTCAGTTTTTTCCATGGCAACGAGCCAGCAGTCCATTCAACTGTAATGTAAAGCCATGATTCAACATCATCTTTTCGGGATTGTTCCATTTGTCTCAGTGCGGCAATTGACGCATAACGAGTAGTACCACGGAATGGAGCAGAAGCACGAGGCAACCGTAAATCTTTGTTTCCAGAACTGTAATATATGATTAAAAGTAACAGTTGAGAAAATCAGATTTCCAACAATCGTTTTTCTATCTTTTAAGGAAAGATCATTATTGGGATTAAATCGATACTATCCAAACACAGAATACAGTATATCTGATGATGGCGCACTCATACAGTACTTTCTAGATTTTTGCAAACGGTGACAATTACATAACTGTCCCATCCTATTCACTGGCTACTTCATTATACGCATGCAAAATGGAAACAAAAAAAGAAACGACAATGTTGACAATTCAGAATATCGTCTCTTTCCAAAGCTTCTCTTGTGAACATTACCTGAATTGCCTGCACAATCCGAAGTCAAGCATAAAAATGGTGTGATGTTCGTTGGCTTCCGGTCGTCCAATTGCAAAGTTGCCTGGTTTGATGTCTCGATGTAAAAATCCAACAGTATGTAAATGTTCTATTGATTCCAAACATTGTTCCGCTGCTTTCAATGCTGTATTTAACGTGAAACGTTGTTCTGGTCGTTCCACCCTTAGATCCCATAAATTTCGACCAACCTGGCAGTGTTATTGATAAAAAAGCTTGAACTTTTTCCAATTTCAAATAAATTTAGTTTTTAAACTAGAACATTTCGCATTAAAAAAGTAATATTTTAGAAAGCTGAATTATTACTTTAAATTTATCATCTATATTAAGTTTACAATGTTGTTAATCCAGTTGCATGATTAGCATTTCTAAAATTATATATACTTTTATAATATGAATGATAAAATTTAAAAATTTGATGATCTCTTGGATCGAAGTTTACCAATTTCATAATGATAAATCTAAAACGATCAGGTTGCTTCCCGCGATCGATAATTTCGCAAAAATGTTTGCTTCCAAGTGATTGTGCACCACGCAAAACTGTGCAATCCATTAATAGTACCTATGGAAATTTTTTTGAATTGTGGAATCGGCTTATTTATTACCATAGAATTTTAATGAATTCCCGAATTTTTAAAAATTCTTAAATAATCATTTGGTAAATCAGTTCAATTTGGATTGCACCAAAAAATATTACTCGTTTTCTAACATCCACTAGTTCACATTTCATCGCAAAAGCAGCAGAATCCGATACACGCTTTACCTCATACACTGCTCCAAAGCCACCTTTACCCAACAATTTTATTGACTGAACTGACAAACTAATTTAACTGCTATACAAAATTAAAAAAATTAAAGATGAAAAGAAATAATCTTGTTGTGTGCCGCATATAACTGTAAGTCAAATTAATACAACGTAATAATTTTGAAGTGTTTCGTATTTGCGTAAGGTAGACTTCAGCTGTCACCTCATATTCCGCTTTCTTAGTAATAATGAATTCACCAGGTTGCGGTAATTTTTCACTGAGTTTTTTGCTAGCCATTTCCTGAAAGAAGGCAGGGCAAAGATTACCCCGGGAAATGATCAGATAGCTAATGCCTCTGAAAATTCATTTCCTAAGAGATAACCTATATCTCTTAGCAAATTAAATTTTAGTAACTCGTGCCTTTTATATTTACAAAGAAATTTCGTTGTGGAAACTATGCGTGGACATTTTAAAGCATTAAAAATATTGATGAATAGGTCTTCGAATATTTTCTTTTATACTAGCAAGAAAAATTAGAATAGAATGCAAATTTGAATGCTTTCTACAGTGTATTCGTCACTCAAAATTAGTGCAAAAAAGATGAGTGCAAGAAGCAGTAATTGCATATTTCATGCCAAAACTCGCATGCAAATGCTTGCAATGATGCTCTTCCTGGCCTGTTTAAATAATTTAGTACGACAAATTAATTTTACATTCTGAAACGTCATTTTCATTGAGTGATATGCATTCTGGACGGATGGTTTGAATCATTTCTGCAATAGCACTGCGTTACTATTCTGTTCTCATGGACTGTGCGCTTTTTAGTTGTTTAGTTCACATTTTACAGTTCGGTAGTTTGTCACTTTGATTTTACGCAACAGAGGAAGGAGGGGAAGCATGCCTCATGAGCGAAGAAAATAAAATTAAGTCGTTTACAGACAAGCTTCATGTTACTGTTCATTTCATTTCCCTATCATTTTTTCAGTTTAGTTGGTGTGACATCACAACTTTTTTCTAGTTTCATTTTCTTCCACTTTTTTTCATAAGCATTCCGTGTTTAAAAATGGATTTGACTTTCAGACCATGAAGCGTTCATACGGCGAGGCGTTGAAAAAAGACGATGAAGTTAGTCAGGAAATTAGCCAAGCATCAACGTCAATTACATCATCAGCCAAATCATTGAACCACAATTTAAACCATTTGTATAAGACAATCCCCAACTCAGCCAGAAATGAACGTGGAAAAAAATTACGTTTAGAAAAAGCTTATGTAAGTTGTTTCTCAAATATATAAAATTGATGATTTGTATAAGAGGATAAATGATTAGTTGTCGAGCATATCATCTGTTTTATGTAGATGACACTTGTAGGACCTCATTTTTCAATGATTGTCGAAATGAAAAGGTAGAGACAGGAGTACTTATTCTCCTCCAAAGAAAACTTTAATTCGAGGAAATGATTTTGAGATGGATTCATCGAATACTTAAAAACTGCCTGAAGTTTGCTACAGATATTTTGTCAGTATTTATTTCTTTGATTTTATTGAACTCATACAGTGGCCCTGAGTTCGGTGTTTCTTCTAATACTTACCAATATTTGCTCCTTCAAAAATATCGATTTTGTTCCAATAATTGATTGGAATTTATACTTAAACAGAAAGGCTTATTTAAATAACATCGATTTTTTGGAGACCTTTCGCACCTGTATTTCAAAGAAGTCTTAAATTTAGGCAAAGCGTGAACGACAAAAGATGCGTTTGAAAATGCGTAAACAACTTGGTGAAAAATCAGTACCGAAAGAAAAGCCACGAACGATTGAAAGTACTCGTGAGCATGATGTCACTGTGATCGAAGATGACGATCAGGAAGTTCGTCGCTATGTTTTTTGTATGCGATATTAGTACGAGTTACGAATTACCGTAAAAGCTTGCTTCTTTCAGGAACTATACTGTATTTGATGATAGCATTTTGGTTATTTTCTCGTTCTTTACTCATATATAGGCTTTATTAGAACCATCTTTCGAAACGTAATGTGAACTATTTTATCTCAAAAAACTTGAAATTCTTGTAGTGGCTAACAAACAGTATGCTTTAAGTACTAGAAGTGGTTAATTGGATCTAAGAATGATTAAATGGTGCTGATTTGTTGCTGGATTCTGTACTTGAGATCTCCTACAGTCTGGATATTCATCAAGTGTACAAAGCAAATTAAGTACTGACTTCAAGTACATTTTAGTGGCAGGATATTTACTATTTTTTGTTCTTTTAGGTTCAACATGATGAAGCAAATGATGAGATGAGCGCATATTTCAGTGATGGAGTACCACCGAAAATTCTGATAACTACTTCACCGTATGCTAAAGTGGTTAGGGTATATATAATTATCAGAATAGAGAGATGCATATCTCTTAGCTTGCATAAAACTACACTACGTCACGTATCATTCAATTCAACCGAATTATCACAATTTACTAACCTTCCAAAGGTTTCAATTCGGAATCAGTTCCGGATTCAGTTTCAGTTTTTATTATTTTAAGAATACATTCAAGTTCTGCTACGAATTACAAAAATGCATTCCGAATGCTGATATATTTACTCGTAAGGGAATTCCTTTGAAAAAAGTGGTAAAGCAAGCAAAATCCAAGGAGTATACTGATTTGATTGTGGTGCACGAAGATCGGAAGATGCCGAGTAATTTTTGTTTTTTTTCTTTGTTAAATAAATTAATATAATTCCTTTGCATAAATTTTCGCAAACACAAAGTCTTTGTATACCTTAGTACATAGATGCACTTCAATTTCGAGTACTGCAGTTAAACCAGTATATTCTTACACTATTCCGTTGACGAATGAAATAGTGTAACAGTATAGTAGTTCAACTGTAGAAATTTTTTCACTGCTGCAAATTTCGAAACTTAGATCTTAACCTAGGTTAATTCTATTAATTAACTTTTCTTTTGAAGCTGTGATATAAGTGTATCATTTCCAGATGGTATTGTTCTCTGTCATTTACCAGATGGTCCAACTGCGTTTTTCAAAATTAATAATTTAACTTTTACGAAAAATCTCAAGGTGATAATTTATTAAAATATATGGTTTTTGATATTCTTATTTGTGCATTTTTGTTAGTATCCCAATTAAACAGTAATATGTGACACTGTTTAATTTGGATACCAGCAAAACCGATTTGATGCTATGGTTTTTAAAATGTTAAGGTTTAAAAATTTCATTTCTCTCTTTTAATCTTAATCAGTGGTATATTCAGCTAAAAGATGTTTGCTTTTTAAGGACCAGAATGAATAATCTAGTTTTAATATTGCAGAAAAAAGGCGAGTCCACCACCCATTATCCAGAATTGGTATTAAACAATTTCAACACTCGACTTGGACATACGATTGCGCGAATGTTTGCATGTCTCTTTCCACAAAAGCCCATGTATTCTGGGCGACGAGTGGTTACTTTTCACAACCAACGAGATTATATATTTTTTAGACATCACAGGTTTTTGTTTTACCTAAAGTACCTAAAGTAACGAATTTATTTCCCAGCTATTTTCAATTTATACATTTCTCATTCAATTCTCAGCAGCTTGCGAAACGTGTTTGAGTTCTGCTCCTGCCTCCTAGTCAATGTAATATTTATCAAAATCCTTTTTCAGTGAATTACTCTTTTTTTTCATTTTTAAGGTATGAGTTTAAAAGAAAAGGTGAAAAGGCGGCGTTACTTGAACTTGGACCTCGCTTTACTTTACGGTTGAAGTGGCTGCAGAAGGGAACATTTGATAGTCGATATGGTGAATATGAGTGGGTCTTAAAGGTGGTTTTTTTTTTTTTTAATTTTAATTTAACTTCATCCACAATATCTAATTATATAGCTGGTTAATCAAATATTCGATATAAAGTTGGAAAATTACATAATGCTTTTTGTGTTAACAAGGTCAAACTTATTTCTCATTCAAATATCGATAAAGCACCGGTAGTAATTGAAATGAATTATTCGTTTGAAGCCATTTAGATAACGATAACGATGTTTAATTTTTTCCATATGATTTATTTTGCAGAGGCATGAAATGGAAACTAGTCGAAGGCGGTTCTTTTTATGATAAATTTGATAAATTCACAATTTGCCGTTATTGTTTATAAACAAAATAATAGTTGAAAGACATGAATTGTTGCGCCTTTATAACGCAAGCTTCGGAAAAGCCAAAGCAAAAATTATGTTTTGATATGTGAGATTTTCAAGTTGAATTAAATAGAATAATTTCTTTTTTTCTACTTAGTAAAGTATTGGCAATAAATTTTTTAACATTCATTGAAAAAAATTATACCAAGTAATTTTGTTAGAGTTTAAAACTAAATCAATGAACTCATTGAGTAATGGGAATCATTATTTGATGCAAACTTCGATAGCCAATATAAACACGCATATATAATCTGCATGGATTGCGCTTAATTTTTTTTTCTTGATTGATATATTGATATTAACCATATACGCAGTAATAAATATCAATATATCAATCAAGAAAATTATAGCTAATGTCAATTTATTCCATTTATTCCAATTTATTTTGGCTTGTCCAATATAAAAATTGATATTGCAGCGGAAAATTACACTCAGGAATCATTGATTTCAGAATATTTTGTTTCTAAAAAAAAGTTTTTCTGAAAAAAACATTATTTAAGGAAAAAATGAATACATAATCCAATGATACCCTCAAAAAATGTTTGGCGTTATTGGTGTCAAGTTATCAAATATGAACAATACCTTACATTAAAATATTGCTAAATCATATTCTGAGGTAAGAAACTGTGATAGGTTATATTCTAGGAATAGCCGAAGTGACATGCATATTATCAATGACCACTATATTTCGAATAGCATCGATATATACGTGCTAAATTGTGACGCATTAGAATGACTAATTTACGTATTCGTAGCAAGCTCGACAATCGCTTCTTTTTCATTATAAATTAGATTGTCAAAAAAAAGAATACAGCAAAAGTTCGACTTATTGAAAATTAAGTTAATAGTATCGAATTAACCGAATTAAACCGAATTAACTAATCAATTATCTTTTTTTTCTTTGAATCAGAAAATCTAAAAATCACTCCTCTATTATACATTTGGTAGGGATACAACAAAAATGGCAACAAAACATGGCACTCAAAAACCTATACATTGCAAAAAAACCTATACATTACATTGCAATAATCGATAACTTCCAAACTCCATAAATATAATTACCTAAGCTAAGATAACTTATCATCTATCCAGGCATCACTGCTGCTCTCGAATAACTTATTAATCTTATGTTATATGAATGGATAGAAAAAATCAATAACTAATAGTTTAACGTAGATTATTAAAACAATCATTTAAAACCATAAATGAAATGAGGTTTTTCCGATTTTGGAAAATCTCGTTTCATTCATGGCTTTAAAGTGTAACATTTCTGATTTTGAATAAACGTATGGGAAGAAAGGATTTGGGAAGCATATACTATTTCATAAATACCATTCACAATTTTTGTATCCCGACAAAGGAACAGAACATCATTGTATCTCTCGAAATATTTCTCAATAATTTTCAAATAAAATTAAAAAATTCGGAAGAATCATACGGAAGGAAAAGTTTTTAATGAATTAAAACAGTTCATCCAAGAAGAATAGAAAGAAGCAAATTTATAAATAAGAAATTAATCGATTAATCACGTGCGAAATTCTTCAAACAGCTGACTTTTCATAATTTAAAAGATTGACACTTTAAAATTTAAATTAAATTCAGAACGTAAAATAAGAGAAATTTAATGAAAGAATGGAACTAAAATTTGGTGTTAAAATTGATTAGAGATTCAAGATAACGGAGAAACAGAAAAAAGGGACGCATCCATATACGTGTAAATATGATTATAAATTTAAAGGACGATTTGATTTTAAATTTCCAAGGAGATTTTCCGATGATGAATGAAGCAAGTCGATAGAAGGTTTGTCCCACAATTTTCGTAGGTTTATAAAGTGTTAAAAATATATATGAAAATCATATAAACATTGAAACAATAAAGTGGAACACCTTAAATCTTTTAATATATGTCATGACAATAATCAAAATATTAAAATGAATAAAATAAAATGTTTTAAAAAAACAAATAAAACAAAGAAGTGAAGGCAAAATTATTTTGCTCGATAGCATAACTTCCTCGATTTAATTGAAGGGCCTCATTTTTTCTAAAATCTGAAACATTTCTTATCATCATTTCCTTCAACTCATTTCTGAACAATTTCAGGCTTAAAAGGGAAAATCTCAAATAATTTCTCCAAATGTCCCAATTTTTTGCTTTGATCAAAGTTGTTGGCATTTACTTTTTCATTTTTTAGTCATTTGAATTACAGCAGACTTATTGTCTTATAGATCCTGAATGCAATACTTCATATTCATGCAAGATTTTAGTTCAAAATTCAAAAATTCATTGGCAAATATGAGAGCAAAAAAATTGAGCATTATAAAGAACAAAATAGTACAATTAGTCTTTCTATTGATTAGTGGTGCGCAAAATTTTTAGCTGTCGAATGAGAAATGAAACTTAAAAGAGGTTTTTTTTTTAAGTTTTTTTGAGTTTGACAATTTTTATCATTGAATAAAAGAAGTGGACTGAAATCTCCCATTCAAACAGGTCCATTAAACTAAATGGATGGAAAAAATACTTAACAAATAAATTGCTAGAACAAATTTTGTAACTGATACGAGTTCTCCTTTTTGATGCCATAAAACGTGATAATCAATAAAATCGGTCACACTTTTTTTATAAGCTTAGATAAGCAGGAAATAAAAGTCACTGATAATCTTTTTGAGCAACTTTTTAAACAATAATTTCTTTTCACATTAATTTCAATTATTTGGTAGCAGTGAAACAATTTGCCATTTTTGTATTAAATTTAATATTCTACAGATTTCAAAATTTATAACTTTTCGCGTGCTATTTTAATCATATTGTCCATTCATCATTCATTATCAGTTATCATTGATTATTTTTGCAGTACTTTTCATTTTGTTTAGATATTTTAGCTTATGAAAGTTGTTTTATTTATAGCAAACCTCTCCGCATTCATAATTCTTTCCATAATAAGAATCTAAATATTTTTCTATGATGAATGACTTGTGAAATAAGATATAATTTCTTCATGCCTTCGTAAAAGAAAAAAGACATAAAGCATCTTTTTTCTTTGCTGAAAAGTACATTTTTATTGAAAAATTTTATTGCGAGAAGAATTTTCTTTACGATCTCGTTGAAATTTTTCAGGATAATGTGCAAAATTTCTTTTATCCCAAAAATAAAACCACACTCAGTAAAGAAGTCAAAAATTTTTGTTGAATTACCATCAGTTTATAAGAAGTTATATAAAAAATTGCAAATTTCTAAAAAATCAATATGCTTTTGCTATTTAAATTAAAATTCCAAGTAGCTTATTTATTCAACTATTTTAAATGAAGACCTTTAAAAACAGCACGAAAATAAACTGGTTAGTTAGCACTTCCTGAAAATACGAAAAAAATAACTGCAAGTTTGCTATTTACAAAAAAACTTTACCAGCAAATTTGCATTTAAAAAATGACAAAAGTAAAACACTTGTTCAAAAGAGAAAAAAACTTCAGAATAGTTAAAAGTACGTTCAATAAAAATATGATATTTTATGTAAAATCCAGTTTACGGTTTAAATATCCAATCCATAAATTGAATTTCGAATTTTACCTCTGTAAACAAAATCATTTCAGAAAAATTTTCCAATGTTTGCTTAGTAAGTAATAAGAAAAGAAAGAAATATTTTGTACTGACCACAGTTTGGATCATTAAATGGACAATTGAATTTTTGAACAAAGAATGTGCGTGAGAAGAAAAAGGAGAAAGCAGAAAATAGTTTTCACTTAGTACTGGCAGTAATAGCATTACAGTTTGTACTATTTTTTTCTCCCTCAGCAATTTCATTTGATGCAATTACACTGACCAAAACATTGTTCATTTTGTAAGACGTGTATTTCTGTCCACTAAGGTTTGACAGTAGTACAAATACATTGCTAAGCAGACAGAAGCAAAAGTTTACATGTGCGTAGGTAGATTTTTGTTGCCAAGATTAGTTAAATTGACTTAACCACTCCAACTAAAAAACTTGATATTAGATCCCGCCTTCTTTTTTGAACCGGACACGGATCAGTCGATTGGCTAAGCGCTTTATAAAGGTTTCGTCGACTGGCTATCATCATTCAAATTCATTTCATGTTTCACTTTGAAAATACTTCAAATTATTAGATTAGAAAATAGCGATTTTACGATTTAAAATTTATGAAATACTACAAAATAATTTTTCCAAGACCATTTTTTTTTCTGTTGAAATTGTCAGAAATTTCTATTTTGAATTAATAATGTTTTTAGTCATCGATTCAAATATGTTATATCTGATAGTTACTGGCATTTTTTTTGCATCTAAACAATGCAAAGGTCAGTTAGGTTATGGTGGTAATGGCTACTGTTCTTCTTGTGCACTGAGTAATAGCGGTTCAATCCCACGAGGATTCGGGTACGGTGGTGGCAACTATGGTATTGTTTTTTTTTTTTTTGAAATTTTACACTTTGCAGATCATTTTTTCTTTTGTCAAGACTTGTCAAGATTAAAAAAGTTGTTCTGTATCAATCCAAACAAACACTTTAAACTTAAGCAAGAAGTTTGGGATTTGACTTATTTAAAAATGAATCCTTTTATGAATTTTATAAATTTTAGTAAATTTATCAAATACTATAAATTCAGATTTGACTAGTCAAAGCTTATATTCATTGCCCACAAATAATGCTTTCATCATACCACGAAGTAGCTATAGCTATGGTTCGAATGGATACGGTATTGGCACAGGTTATGGTAGTTCTCAAAGTAGTAATACTGTAAACTACGGATCTCCATCTACAGTATGTCTTTAAATATGTCAAATTACGGCTTATCCTGATAGCTTCACCTTTTTAAATATCTCATAAATAAATTATTCATTCGTGTTAGTATTCATTCAAAAGAGAAATTTTGAAATCGTTCAAAAGAGGAATTTTGAAAAACTTCATCCTTTTTGAATTCTTAAGTTCCCAAAATTTTCAGACCGGGATGACTTGGAATAATGTTTATAGTTCTGCTGGAAACTATGGCACCGGAAGTGGATATACCAATTGCTATCATAATAATTGTATACCAAGCATTGGATATAATACAGTCCCCAGTGCATCAGCAAACACTGGCACAAGTTATGGTATTTCCGGAAAAAACGCTGTCTACAATTCCTATTTACAACCAGAGACAAATTATAAGATCTACTCATTGCCTTCTACTTACAGTGTATATTCTAATTTAGGATCATCTCCAAATACTTATACCAGTAATGGCAATTCAGGTCTAGAGAGTAGTTATTCATTACCGGCTACCTACAACAGCTATCCGGCCATATATGGTAGTTACGACAGCCAAGGTAGCATCAATTCTCCGAGTAATTTATATTCCCTTTCTAGTCATCAGCAAAATCGGAAAGGAGTAGCTGCAGATGATACTTTCAAAATGGGAAAATCTTCATCATCAACTACCTCGCTTTCATCGTGATATATCGGAATTAGTTTATTCATAAAATAATTTATTGTAAAAAAAATTTTTAAATAGGACTAAATTTTTTGAAATTTCTGTCATTTATAGAAATGATATTAAAACAGTTGTGTGTATTATCTGCAGAATCACTTAAGTGAAATTTTATTCAATGAGCATGCTTAGGAAGGAGATCTATCAGATGTGCAAATAAATATCGAATAAATAAATATTTCGCTGTGTAAGACATATGATCGCATAATATTATTTGGTATTTTTATTGACCAATTTTCCGATTATCCTTTTCTATTTCTGAATTATTTATCTTCAATAAATATTGATCTGGATCAATCTGCGTCAAATATACATTAATAATTAACGCCTAATAAATTTTTCCACTCTATTCAATCGAGATATTTGTAATATTTAATTAAAATAACACAACGAGATAGTTAATCAATGAAGGACATTTACATATATATTTTTCAGTCAATGTACAATATATCATCACTATTTTCCGGCAAGATATATATTAATTGTTATAACCATCACTATTTAGTCGATCAAATGACTTAAAACTTTAAATAACTATGCAATAATTCGTAAGCATAATTTCAATAGAATTAAATCACATTCGTGAAATACTTGTAATTATTTCAAGGATAAACGGAACGAATCGAATTGAATAGACCCAAACGAAAGCTCATTGAATATATTACTTTTCAACAATGAATGGCTTAAATGAACAATAAAAGATGATGAAATTTCAAATTCAAAAACTGGCCGATTTTTCTATGTTGCATATTTTTTATTAAAGAATTTTCAGTGATCAAAAATCAAATAAATAAATGAATGGATTTTAGAATATAATAACCGCTAAAGACAAAGTTGCTCGACCAGTAATAATAACAGACGTGGGAATAAGTTGAATGGAAAGGAAATAATATTTTTGTTAAGATTAATTAATTATTCATATAATTTTATCCGTCCCACATATAAGGAATCTTTTTCAACTAATGCAGCAAATTCAAAGAACTGCATATCAAGATATTCGGTCCAATTAATTAATTAATTTATTTTTGCTTTTAAAACCAATTTATTAGTTTAGGAATATTTGCTCCGTGTGACAGTTGTTAGTGTTGCATTTATCTCCAATTGCGTTGGATCTCATTGTTTTTTTCTTTGGCCTGAAAGACTTTTGAATTGAGATAAGATTTTTGAACAGCATTATTGAAATTTCGAAAGAAAATACTGATTCATTTGCTCCGTATAATTTATGAATCCAATTGATTCGGGATTTATATTTTTTAATTTGCTAAATGAATCGAAACTACATTCGAACAAATTAAATTCGATCTTGTTAAAGATGTTTTTCTATCTTATCTCAATGCTTATCCACACAAGTGATTCTAATTGATTTTATCAGGAACTTTCATTACCATTACAAACAAAAAAGGAAAAAAGATCAAAATTTAATTCCTTATTTTAATATTATTAAAATAATTAGTTGAAATGATGTAGGTTAAATCAGTCAGGACAATTAAGATTGGAATTATTTAGTAGGACTAATACATTCTCCGGCAGTGAAGCCAATTTCAATTTACAAATGCACTTGAATATTATTTGAAAAAAGCAAGCTATAGAATGTTGATAATGTCAGAATGGTTCAGAAGATTGTCAATTGATATGATATCTCGCTGTGAAATCTAAAATATATCGTGCGTTGCAAGTATGAGTGTTAGTATTGTACTTTTTAAAATGCTCCGTTTAATCCTAACTAAAAAAGAGAAAAAATTCGAAAGCTAATCAATAATTTCATTTTCTAACAAAATAAGTTTTGTATTATTTGAAAAGTTAGGATTAAACAGATCATTTTATTTGTTTCGAACTTTTTTTATTTTTTTTGCTAGAATTTGTTGCTTTGGTATATTTTTCTAAAATCTTACAAGATTTATAATTTTTCAGCTTTTTTTGCAAAGCTTTTACGTCAGGAAATCACTTCAGCTGTTCATTGGATAAATGAATTTAAATTTATGTTCAAATTTACGAAGCAAAACAAAGTAGAGACTTTTCAAAAAAACATTTTATAAATCTTTTGTAAAATAAATTTTGAGCTCTTTTTTACTGCTATCGGATAAACATAGCGGAATGCCTTTAGATTTTTTGATTTAGATCCAGATTTATCAGTTTTCTTGAATTATAACTAAGCTGTCTAATTTGATCCATTTCTGCTTTTATATTTCATGAAATATAACACTTCATCATTCGGAACACGAATTAATGTATTTTTAGTATTGACATTTTTAATACTTAATAAAGATAGCGCCTTCTATTATCTCTAATCTTTTAGTATAGTGATTCTAAGCGCAACTTGTCAATCGGAGAATTTAACATCTTATTGATATCAAACAGATAAAAATTTTGACATGAATTCAATAAACTTATCAATGTTTAAAGCAAAAATATTAACAACATGAAGAACTAGCAAGAGTAATGCTAAGCTTAATCAAATATTAAGCGATAGATTTGTTGATTATATTTAAAAACAAATTCAACTAATTCATCAACTAGTACGCCTATCTTTTAGGTCAATTATTGCATGCATTCATTGTTTCTCATCAATAAGTTTAACTGCAAAATCGAATTTTTCTAAATCTTTCACAATAACTTATTTGAAGTCGTTTTTTTTTTTGAAATATCATGACCTGTTTAATTAATAACAGCTCAAAATAATAATACTGCCAATGAGCACATTCTTGATTTTGACGTGTTCTGATAAATTGTTGTTTAGCTTCAAATTCAATGCTGAGCTCTATGTTACGGCTACAATTTATATTGCTTTTTAACCCTATTCAAAATTTATATTTTTTGAAATACAAATTTTAAAGAAAAATATTCTCTTTTACCAGATATTTAACTAACATTGATTGATCCAAATAAATGAAATGATTGTGTTGATCGGATAAAGATTATATTGTTAATAAGTTGCCAGCTAATTATTCCATTAATCGCAAATTGCAGTATCATCACCACTTGATCAGATGAATGAGGAGAAGTGATAGAAGAGAAAAGTAAATGAACTTGTTGCAAAACTTACCCTCCCATTGCTTCTGCTCAGGAAATCATCAGAAAACAGAGACTTCAAAACACCAATCTCTTATTAAATTCATCAATTATTGCTTACCAAGCAGCATTTTGTGCTTATAACTTTTCGTGCCCTCTTTTCTTATCTGCACCATTTCAAACTCTTCCATGATTGTATCATTGATTTTTTTAAACTATGCTGTCAGATGGAACTGATTAAAATTTCGTACCCCTCATTTATCGCTAATTTTTTTCAAAAAGTTTAAAAATCTATAAAATCTT